GAAGCCTCCGTAATATCAGTTCCTTCAATCAAGACTTTTTATATATCCTGATTTCATATTTGCTGTTTGTTCACTTGCAGTGCTGAAATACTGTAGGCATGAATTATGGGTAGGTTTTGAAAGAAGACAAATAGAGTTTATCTATTAAATAAACACCCAGTGCTGTCATTTTCCTGTATAACTGAGTTTCAGTGAGGAACAGAATCTAAAATTGGTTTGTAACTATGGCAACTAATGAGCCAATCTAACTGGAGTTCCCAAATCAACCATGTGACTAGCAAGGGATTCATTCCAATTTTAAAATGCTGATTTTCAGGGGAGAAAATATGCTGCTCCTTTTCCTAACATGGACATTAGGGGTGTCAGGCTACAATCATGCTGCATAGCTGGAGCAGTCTAAAAGAAAAACAGCCCCTTTGTTAAACTGGAAGGACAAATAGCTGACACATTATCCCTATGCTAATTTTCTTGGATAAAGATAAAGTCCTGCAATAAAAACACTACTACAGATGACAGCAATGTCTGAAATCATAGCACAGGGAAATACGACAAACATTACATGAAGAATACGATAGCTTTTTGCTTTGCTTTTTTAAATTGAAAAAATAATATGCCTGTAATATCAATAACCCAAACCTGGCATTTTAGAGCATGATCTTCTCCTTCTGAGGGCTAAATAGGAAGGAATCTTCATGGATATCTGTCTCCAATTGTTCTATCAGAAGGGGAAGATTCCCCCCCTGCCCCCCCCCACAAAAAAGCACTGTAGGGCTGGCCCCCAAACTCTGCAGGATTGCAGGTGATGAGTGGGAGGCCCAGTACCTCCCATACCTGACCTATGACCCCCAACATCTTCCCTCTGTGGAACTGTGTTGTTAGGGTGGCATCAGGGACCCCTATTAAAAGGGTATGCCCACCACAGAGCTGGTGGGGGAATGATGTGTATACCTCTGACTGCCCACTCCCCACCTCCTCCTCCCCCAATGTGTGCATCCTGGAGACCCCGGAGTACTTTCTGCAGGGTCCAGGGAAGTGGGGGAGATCATCCTCTGAAGATTGCTGAAGCCATTTTCCATTCCAGAAGGGTGTGATGTGAGCACTGACAGAGCAGGGGATATGATCTGGCTCTTCATTAATAATTTATAATTTCTGATCAACAGAATTATTTTATTTAGGGGAAAATCATGCCCCTGCTCCCCAAATACAGACTGCCTAAGACACAGTGGAAGTAGTTCAATACCAGCATGCAAGGGCCTGCACGCCATGTGGTTTCCCTGTGCCAAAAGAGTTGTTAGGGCAGTTACAGGCAGTAGATCCTCTGCTACATAGATCCACTAGCCAATGGCCTCTCAGTGGAGGGTTCAGGGGCATACAAGCAGCAATGGCTATTGCAACTTTTGCATTGCAGTAATAGTGGCTATAAATTAGCTCCATTGCTACTCTGCACCCTAATGGAAAAAGATTCCGCCCTAGACAGTTCCCTTGCATCAACTTAGCTAGCTGAGCTTGGTGTTGGAAGGACAGAAGAAAGGAGTGTCAAATACACAAGAGAATACAGCAGCTATTAGTTTTCCAGTACAGTTTGAAAAGCACAACGTCATTGTTTGCTAATAATGGTTAAGCTAAAATTCACCCAAATGGAAATTTTCAATAAAAGGCATGTATTGTCTTATACAGTATTGTAGGTTTCCTTTAGACAGCTATTCTGCCTATTCTGCCGACGCACTAGAATTCTGATCAGTAGAGATTATGTTAAGTATTAGTCAAATGTTTAAGAAAGAACTGAAAGTTCTTACCCATTTTCTTTGATGATTTAAAACCTAACATTCTAAAGAAAACCAAAATATAATACCCCCACTACAATATTTTTGACTAGATAAATGAACAATAAATGAAGCTGTGTTTGACTGAATGGTCTCTCATGTAGAAAAAAATCATAGCCTGGAAATACAATATTTAACTCTGGAAACCACCACCATTTTTGTACTATAAAACAAGCAATATTTGAAACATTAGGAAAATGATTAGGACATTAAGAAAAATGGATAGATTGTTGTCTAACACAGCTTGTTTTATATGGGCTGTAAAATATTTTGGCACTGGTCCTGCAAGTTACTCCGGGGGTAAATCTATGTAACACTGCACATCACAATTCATGTCCCCTCTAGATTTTTTTTTCTTCACAGAATATAGATTCTGCTGGAGAGGTTCTGCAATTACACCTTTTGCCCACCAGGGGCTGCCTTGGCATCAGAAGAGAGGGCAGCCAGCTGGCAGAGGGGGAGGGGGGAAGAGACTGCGTTCCTCACAGCAGGGGAAGGTGAGGAGCCATGGCAAGGACAGAGCAGAGCACATGGAGCTGTTGGGTGAGGGTCACAGACTGGGGTTCAGAAAGGCTAGTTGGGGGACAGACTGCAGCACGGGCACAGGAGATAGTGAGGTAACAGCATTGAGCCAGGGTCTCAATGGGAGGGGGGACTGCAGGGCCACATGGGAAGGGGTGTGCAGGGACACATGGGGATGGGGGCTGCAGGGACACATGGGGACAAGGGGTAGGGGGCTGCAGGAACACATGGGGACAAGGGCAGACATGCCTCACTGAATGGGAGAGGCTAGGGGTCAACCAGGGTCTACATGGGGAGGCTCTCCAACTCTCAAACAATCCTTCCCCTGCCATCAAAAAAACCTGTTCCACACTTCTCCCACCCAACAACCATCCAGGCTCACTTCCAGGCTCCTTCCCTCTCCCTCGGCTCCTCCATTACCCCTAACTCCCACAATCCTTTGCACTTCTTCTGAGGGGTGCAGGAAATACATTTCTGTATTGTAGTTTAAATGAATTACTCAACATTCTGTATTAATATGCCTAGTAGGGAATCTATTTGTCAAAAAAATCATTTCCTGAATCTTTTTGTTTTGTCTATACTGTTATAGACATACTTGCTGACAGATATTTTGAAATAAATTACCAAAATTATTGAAACTGACATGATTATATTGTGTTATTTTGACAAATAAAATATTCAGAATTTTAAAATATTGTGCACAGAATTTTTAATTTTTTGGCTCAGAATTGCCCTAGGAGTATGCAAGTGGAGGACCTCATTGCCTTCAATGGAGCAACATACAGGTGCAGAAGTCCATCAGAATGGGTGTGTAACTGGGTTTACAAATCCCATACTGAGCATGGGCAGAAGGGAGAGGAGAGTCTTTTCTGTTTGCAGGCTGACCACACCCCCACGCACCTGCCAGAATTGCCAGTCATGAAGACATGCACCCACAGCTGTGACCAATAAAGAAAACAAGCCCAGCTATAAAAGAGGGATAACAGAGAGGGAAGGGGAGGCAGAAAGGCCTTGGATAGTAGAGGGGCAATAGCCCCATTCCAGGCTGCCTCTGAGAAACTGACAGGAAGACAAAAGAAGACTGCAAGCCCTGGAGTTTAAGGGCTGATAGACTTAGTTTAAGTTAAGAGGTTATAGAGTGGTCTAATCTTGATGAATTGAAGGGGGACCAGTTAGGAGAAAGCTGGGACCCCTAGAGAGCCTTCCCCAAGAGCAGTTGACAGGGTGTCATTGCTGGATAGGGGATCTTATTAGTAAAGTCACAGCTTTGTCAGCAGAAAATAATACAAACAGTATGAGCATGTGACACAAAGAAAAGGAATGTGTTCTATACATTGATTTCTGACATGCATAATAAAGTCATTTTAAAAGGGAACATTTCAATTGTATCAATACTATAGTCCCTGTAGAATGCACTGCTACTAAATATACAGAAACTGCAGAAGGAATAAAAAATGCGGTTAGGGTGACCAGACAGCAAATGTGGAAAATCGGGACAGGAGGTGGGGGGTAATAGGTGCCTATATAAGAAAAAGACCCAAAAATCGGGACTGTCCCTATAAAATCGGGACATCTGGTCACCCTAAATGCAGTACAGTTTTGCCATACAGAACATAGAGTTTGTCTATTGTTCTATGTATCTGTGTATATGGTATTATGTTTTTGTTAAACAGGTGATATTTAAGCCACACCGCATTTTGTATCACATGTAAGGATCACCACAGGGAGATGTTATAATTGTATGCTATTTGTATCATAAGCACCAAAGCGATTACACAACTGATTTACTGAAGTAGGAAGGGGTTAGAGATTTGTATTAAGATTTTCTGTTTGCTTCAGCTTCCCATTCCCTCCCTGCAATATCTTGAACAAAGCAGGAATTATCTTCTTGTGCCTGTGACAGAACCTTAGCAGGTCACGTGTATTTTAATTCTCTCCCTCTAGAAGCAATCATTATGTCTCACCCAGAGTCTGGCTTCACAAGGCTCTGAACACAGGGCTAAAACTGAAGAGGAAGAAGCAAAAAAGCAAAAAGAGTAGGGAATTAAAATCCAAAACTTATTAAAATCCAACACCTTATACACTTTAAATCACAAGATCAGCATCATCACAAAGGACTGGTAAACAAAGTCTAGTGCAGCATCAGACTCTTAGTACCAGGAAGAGCTGTCACTGAGCCCATTAGCAAAGAGACAGCCAAAAGGAGGAGGATAACAGAGAGCATCGAAGCCTCATACCTTTTCACAAAAAACTGTTACCTGATGAATGTACTTTATCAGATCTGGGCCAGCTGAGAGGCAGCAACAATTGAAATGAGTGTCCTAGAGCATACACAGAGAAACACCAAACCCAGTTTATCCTACCAAAAAGCACTACATTTCATTTCATTGGTTTGCTGCTAAAATCAGTAAAGGCTTATGAAGGCCCATAGAACTGTGCAAACATCAAATGGTTCCATGTCACATTTAGGGAAGGCACAGCATATTACAGCACAGAAGAAAAAGAGAAGCTATAAACAAGAACAGATGCATGAAGGACTAGTAAGTGTACGACAAAGGGGGAGGAGAATTTCAACATGGCATGTCTCTGTGTTGGTATCTCTGTGGAAGTAACTGCAGGCATACAGTAGGCTTTTCATCAGGAAATACTTCTCACCATTTCTCTTTCTTCCCTCATCTTTTGTCATTTTCTGCTGTACCATTACTTTCTGTGAAGAGCTTCTGCCTGAACTGGGCTTTTCTGATTCGTTGCTGATGACAGAACCATTCTGACTAGGCGACCTGCTGTAAGTAACCATAGCAACAAGGAAGACTGTAAGTTTCATCTGTATAAACCTCATTTCAAGGTTATTTCATTTGCACAGTTTGCATCATTGGCTTTTCAAGTCTGATTTTGTACACAAAAGAGAAAGGAAATAAGCCGCACAACAGAAACACAATGAAAGCAGAGATGCACTTACAATATTAAAAAATTACTTTTATGCAGGCTCAGTCCTGAAGAGGATTTCAGTGAAATCAGAATTGATTATTTCTCCTGCACAAGCCCAAAAAGACACAGGAAAATAATGCAAAAGGTAAAAGAAGACATCATTTGTTTGGCATCCATTAAGCAGTTCAAATAAAGCAGATAGTTTTTAATGCCAATTATATCATGAATATGGCTAAACAGATTCATTGCAAGCACTTTTCCCCAATTTAGTCTGCATCTGGGTTCACGGGTTTTGTCAGACAAGGCTGAAATTGGTTCCTTATTCCCAGTTCCTTAATCATGGTACCAGCTCTTTAGTCGTGGCTCCCCGTTCCTTATTCAAAGGGCAAAATTATTTAAAAATAAATCAGTGTAAGATTAGATGTTTAGAAAATTCATCATATTAATTTATTTATCATATTCAATCATATTACTAATTACTTAATTCTTTATTAAAGAAATGCTCAAATAAGGAACTGGGGTTGGACTGGTTGCTGTCACATCTCCACTTCCATACAATACACAGGGCTTGATTAAGAAGTTGGGTTTTGATTGGTTGTTTGTACCAAAGTGCATCTTGGGTCACCCCAAGTGATACAGCCCTGCGACTGTCAGCTTGTTCTGAATGATCTGAAATAAGTCTCTCCTCCAACGAAAGCTTTTGTTCCTGCATGTTGTGCTGCTAAATGGCACCCCTCTCTCCCCTCTTCCATTTTGAATATGGAGTTTGAATAAGGAGCTGGGGTTTGGTAGGCTACATGTGATAAAGTAAGTCTCAGATCATCCCAAGTGACCTGTCCCAACAACCATTAAGCTGTGATGTACCTGAGGCGTGGAACTTCCTGACTTGAAACTTATTCTTTGTGAAAAATTGTGGCCCATGTCACCAGCCCTTCTCCCTCCCTCCCTCCATAGATCCCACCCACCCACCCCAGACACCCTTTAGCAGAGTAACAGGAGTGGCAAACGGGTGTTTTGGAGTGTGAAGCTATGGGTCTATGCTTGCAGATAGAAGGACTTGGTGGCAGGTGTTGTATTTGTACCATCTGTTGGTTGGTTGTTCTGCATGAGTGTTGTGTGGCTGAGCTTTGGACTCCTGAACTGGCCAGCTGAGAAAGGTCTGTTTGTCTCTCAGTGAGGGCCTTGTCGGTTGGACCCTTGCGGCTTTGAACCAAACCAGTGTTTGAAGTCTGAGTGGTAATTCCCTCCCTGTTTGTGAGGGAAGAGACTGAGCAGTGATATTAGTCAACTGCCAGGCGAACAGGATCAGCAGCAAACTGGATCAGTTTCAATGAGCCTTTAGAGAGGGAATCTGACTCCTGTTTTAAGTATGGCTCTACACTACACAAGGTAGCAGGTATGGATGGTGAAAGAACAATTGCTGTGACCTGTCTTGGATGTACTATGTTTTCCTTTCTGCAGGAAGGCCAAATAGATTTCTCGTGTATGAAATGCAAGCTGGTGGTGGAGAAGATACATTGACTGGAAGCACAAGCTGCAACATTGTGCAGCATCTAAGAACCGAAAGACTTCTTGGACTACCAGATTCGGAAATTACTCTCACAGATGCCACAAGGGGACAGATCATCAATAAGAGAACTGGAGAGAGTAGAAACCAAAGAAATGGACAGGCAATTTGTAACCAAGAGGGGAAAGAGAGGCAAGTTGCATTCAACTCAAATTGAAGTATCAAAACATTTTCAGATACTGAGCAAGTCAACTACATAACAGCTGTCTCTGTAGGACTGAAACAGAAAGCTATACAGGACATACTTGAGGGGGACCCTTGCAGTATGAAATAAGCAGCAATTAAGAGAGGTTCTTCAAACCTTCTAAGAATGCAAACAATCATCACTGGTGGCTCCATATTAAGAAGAGCCAATAGAGTTCAGTAAGGGACACAAAGACAATAGGATGATGTGCCATCTCCCTGGAGTGAGGATATGATTTATAACCGTGGGACTAGACAGAATTATGAAGTTGTTTGGCAAGTCTCCACTGATGATGATGATATGGCATTATAAATTGAACTGATGTGGCAAAGAATGAGCAAAGAATAAATTTGTCAACTGCTTATATACCAATGCAAGAATTCTGGATAGCAAGTAAGAAGAATTAGAAATGTTCATTGATGAAGAAAAAAACCTACATAACTGGCCTACTGAAACCTAGTGGAACAAGTCACATAATTAGTAATAACCTGTTTAGGAAGAATAGAGGGGGTAAAAATGTGAGGGGGGGGGGAAGGAGACACTCTACAGTATAGACACCTGTTTTCCAGTTATTGATAACTCAGAACCACAAGACCTTGAATGCATCTGGATCAATGTGCTAACTAACCAAGCACAGGACAGGGTCTGGTGGGGTCAGGTATACAGTCCACTGAATCAAACCAGAGAACAGGTTGAGTTATTCCTTAAGAACTGTAATATGTGTGACAGACCCAGACCAATGGGGTACAGGAGTCTGGTAGAGGGCAAATATACTGGTCACTGGATGAGTAGTTTTCTGTTCCCTGAGTGACCAGAGCAGGGGCTGCAATAGAGTAATCAGGAACCTGCTAGAACCAGTTAAGGCAGGCAGGCTAATTAGGACACCTGGAGCCAATTAAAAAGAAGCTGCTAGAATCAATTAAGGCAGGCTAATCAGGGCACCTGGGTTTTAAAAGGAGCTCACTTCAGTTTGTGGTGAGAGTGTGAGGAGCTGGGAGCAAGAGGCGCAAGGAGCTGAGAGGGTGTGCTGCTCGAGGACTGAGAAGCACAAGCATTATCAGACACCAGGAGGAAGGTCCTGTGGTGAGACTAAGGAAGGTGTTTGGAGGAGGCCATGGGGAAGTAGCCCAGGGCGTTGTAGCTGTCATGCAGCTGTTACAGGAGGCACTATAGACAGCTGCAGTCCACAGGGCCCTGGGCTGGAACCCGGAGTAGAGGGCGGGCCTGGGTTCCCCCCAAACCTCCCAATTGACCTGGACTGTGGGTTCTCCCAGAGGGGAAGGTCTCTGGGCTGTTCCCCAACCCACATGGTGCATCTCTGAGGCAAGAAAATCCGCCATTAAGTGCAGGACCCACCAAGATAAAGGAGGAACTTTTTTCACATACGTTGACAGAAACGTTGCTGTTATAAGGGAGTTCAATTTGGAAGACATACGCTGGAGGTCTATTGTAACCAGTAATAAAAGCATCATTCCGCTTATTACAAGTTATAGATGATAATATTCTAACACTGAAGGCACTGCACCCAACATAACCATTTTGGTCCTCATTATGACAAAGATGAATTAATCACTGGATTGGATGTTGGTGGTTGGCCTAGGAACAAGCAATCATGACCTGATTACAAACTCTGGGCAAACAGAGGACAGACCCAACCAGTAACTACATACTTGGTGCTTCAAGAGGGCTGATTTCTCAAAAGTGAGGAAAATTATCAATGATATTGACTGAGTGAAAAAGATTTAGATAGGAAAAAGTGAATGAAAATAAGGAGTTCTTAAAGAAGAGAATTTATGAGCTGAACAAAAAGGCACAGTTCCACAATCGAGAAAAACATCAATGTTGGGTAAGAGTCCATCCTAGTTCAGTGGGGAAACGGAAGCAGCAATTAGAAATAAAAAGCTAATATATGGGAAACAAGGGGAATAGTCAGCAATCAATATAAATTACAAGTTATGAAGTGTAGAAAATTGCTATGGGAAGCTAAAGACAAAGCATGGCTGGCAAGGCTAAGGAGAATAAGGAATTTTTAAAGAATAGTAAGAACTAAAGAAATCCTAGCAACAGCACAAGGATATAGGCAAGTTACTAGATGGAGATGGTAAAATTGTTAATATTGATGCAGAAATTGTTCAATAAATATTTCTGTTCTCTATTTGTATCATATGAGGCTGCCAAACTACTTTCTAGCCCATCAGCTAGCCCTAATAACATGCACCCATGTGTACTCAGAGTTGGCTAAGGATGTCAGGCATCAGGGCCTGCAGCAGAGGTAGTCTCCAGGCAACCTAACAAGCACAGCTGGCCTGTAGTAGTCAACCTAATTGGCTGCACCACTTGATTGGTTGGCATAGACCAACTCTTACAGCCAGCAGCAGCAGAAGTTCAGCCGCTGCTTAAAGCATTTGCCCATGGCTGCCATAGCTTCTGCATCTGCTTGTTCCCGTGCCTGAATTGGACCCAGCCTTGCTCCTGCCTTGCCTCACTCCTGGAAACCTGGTTTTGACCCTCAGCTCCAATTCCTGACTTCTCCTCTGACCCTTGTCTCTGGCGTCTGGCCTCTGACTCCGCTTCTGATCCTGGACTCTGACTCTGGGCGATTGATGCCTACTCCAAACACTAGGCACAACTGCCCACACCCCAGTCACCGACAAAGGAGAGCTGTGGCCCACCACACTTAATTTTTAATAAATTTTTGAATCCCAGGAAATTCCAAAAGACTGGAAGAGAACTGATCTTGTGCCAATATTCAAAATGTGGAAGTGGTATGACCTAGCTATCTGAAGTCCAGTTAGCCTGACATCAATCCCAGGCAAAATAATGGAAAAGCTGTTGTATTCGGTTACTAATGAGTTAAAGATAGGAATATAATAAATTCCTGTCAAAATGGTTTGATGGAAAACAGGTCTTATCAAGCAAACTTAATTTCTCTCTTTGAAACTGCAAGTTTGGTTGATAAAGATAAAGCGTTCGCATCCACTGTGCAGTCTCCTGTGTTGAAGGTACAGATCTGCAATTGGCCAATTAAGAGTCGTAGCCTAAGAGTGCTCTACAGATTCCTCGCTGACACTAAGCTCTCACATAGCAACAGATGCAAATAATGCTTTCTGCCATCTTTGGTTGGCTAAAAGACTTTGTCCCATCCAAGTGGAAAATGACATGGACTTAGTTATTCATGCTTTGTCACCTCTTGTCTGGACTATAATCATGTGATATACCTAGGCATGAAGCCTTCAGCAATTAGAAAACTCCAACTAATATAGAATACCGCAGGACATCTCTTCAGCCATGCAGGCTTCCATTGACACGTCGCTCCTGTCTTCCACTCCCTACCCTGGCTTCCCATAGAATTTTGCATTGAGTTCAAGGTTTCAGTCCCTATCTGGAATGTGCTCAGTGGCCTGGGCCCAGGATATCTAAAAGATTTCCTAAGCTCCAGAACAAAGACTGTGTGTAGTTGAGAACTCTGCTCCTCAGGCACAATGGAATTCTCTACAAAAAGGATAAAGCTTGCCTGTGCAGCATAAAGAACTTTCTTGGGGCCAGTCTAGAATGAATTGCCCCATCACAAACCTCACCACCTTCTGCTCCAAGGTGCTTTTCTTTGACCTTGCCTTCTAACACATAGCAACTTGTGGTTTTTATTATTTAAATATAAATTTTAAACCCTGCAAAAACAAGACACTCCACTGCATATGCTTCTATCCCTGGGGAGAGGATGACAGAACAAACGACATATGACAGATGTGTAGTCATGCTGTTTAATGCACTACTGGAAAGCAGTATACTGCAGATACTGTGGTGATGAGCATGATAAAAGAACCGTTACAGAATAGATATAATATACTTAGACTTGAGTACCACATGACATTTAAAAATACATCAATGCAAGGTTAGTTTTAGAAATGTCATCACATTAATGACTGAATGTGATAAAAATTTAAATTACTAATATATCTATAAAATAATCAAATGGGGGTGAATACTGATTTTTTGTTGATTTTTACATGCATATTGTATGTTTACTTTAAAAAAAAAACCACACAAAATAAGAGTTGGCTAATATATTTGTCAGACCAGAAATAAGAGTTCACCTCTGGGAATGGCATATCCTTATCTCTTCATAAATTATCAGTCACAGGCATGTGTCACTTGGGATGACCCAATATATATTTTGTCACTCACAGCCAATCACACCCCAACTCTTTATCTGGACTCCATGTACAATATGGAAGTGGGGTGGTGGGGTGATGTGGCAGAATATTGGGCAAGAACAAAGCTTTGCGCTAGTTCAGCTCCTTCAGAACAGTAGGATGGTCACAGGGATGTGTCACAGGGGGTAACTTATTTTGGTCATGTATAGCCAGTCAAAACCCAGCTCTTTATTTGACTATTTAATTAAAGAACTAAGTAATTAGTAATTTGTTAACACATTCAGTAATTTTAATCTGACAAAGTTTAATCTCACATTAATGCATTTTAAAATAATATTAGCCTTTCAATAAGGAACCAGGAATAAGGAACCCACTTCAGCCTTGCTTTCGACAGCCATAATTCACAAACACACACAGACTCCTTTTCTCCCTCTGAACACTACACTATCAAGCCAGTGCCACTTTTTGCTGACACTCCCAGTGAAACATCATTTACATAAGCCATCTTCTTTGGCACTGTTTGCATTGCTTAATGCACTGAAGCTGCTACTGCCACAACCATGGACATGGGTGCTGAGAGCCACTGAATCAAACTGTTAACCCTGTATATGATGGAGACCACTTCAAGCCGGGGGTGCTGCCGTACCCCCAGCACCCCTAGTTCCAGCACCTATGCATGGGTGGGGTCAGAAGTGTTGAGAAGGGGCATTCTCAGAAAGCATTCTCCCTACAGAGGGCACAAGAAGGCAGAATTACTCTGGGGCACTCTGACAATTTGGGTATCTGCCCTCACACAGAATTAATAAATTGTGCAATTATAAACTCTCTGTATCTTTACCAAGCTGCAAACTTCATTTTGAAGGTGGGGGCTTGTTGCCTTCTCTATGGTCTCTGCCCACAGGCTGGACCACGATTTCAAAGTGTAGTGATACAGCACTGGCAACAGCTGATTGTTCAAGACTATCAGCACCCATAGAGGCCTTACCTGCGGAGAACAAAAGAGTAACTGCATCCTAAGGAAAAACTGTTCTTTTCAACTTCCCTCAACAGGGAGCTGGTGGATTTAGAGAGTGGAAATTCCCCAAGAAGCACATAGCATGTCTACACTGCGGACCACACAGTGACACAGCTGTGCTGCTGTAAGGTCTCCTGTGTAGCCACTCTATGCGAGTGGGAGAGAACTCTCCCACCGGCATAATTAAACCACCTCCAATGAGCAGCGGTAGCTATGTTGGCAGGAGACTGTCTCCCACTGACATAGCGCTGTCCACACTGGCACTTTTGCCAGTGAAACTTTTGTCGGTCAGAGGGGTGTTTTTTTCACACCCCAGGCAACAAAAGTTTTACCGACAAAACTGCTAGTGTAGACATAGCCTAAGCAGCAGGTTTTAAAGAGGACTCATAGAGGGAAGACAGGAAGGAAACATACAGGAAGTTAGGACAGGAGAAGGGAAGGGTACAGGCCAGCTAAGGTTTGAAGGAACCATGCTGCCAGTGGGATGGGGGTAGGATCCAGACAAACAAATAAAGGGCAACTGTCCTTGCAGGGTCACTTCTGCCACCACAGAGCTTCTAAGACTCCCCTTTTAAAAAAGAAACTCATGTTTATTAAGCTGAAATTTCAAAGTTTCTTTCAAAGTTCAATTATAACAACAAAATGTCTGTTCTGACCAGATAACAGCCACTTCATGAAAATCTGATACATGACCTTTCCAGGTTGTGAATTGGCCTGGAATGAAATTGCAAGTATCTCAGATGGTCATGTAATATTTTTCATTTTCAAAAGCCACTAAACAAAGTTCCCCTGTCACCTATCAGAGATAACAAAGAGCCAAATCCTGCTCACCTTACTTATACAAGTAACCCCACTGGAGTCAATAGGCCTACCTGTGTAAGACGAGCTACATTTGCCCAGAAAGGCATTACAGCAGTACTGTACTGTATATTCAACACACCTGACAGTGGGTTTTCCAGTGAATTCCTGAATCAGTAAAAGCTTACTGATCAGAATTGGTTTAGGAATGCAGAGATTTAGGGTGAGTGAGGGAATACCTTCTATTGGGCCACCATCTGTTGCTGACAGAGACAAGCTTTGAGCTTACACAGAGCTCTGCTTCAAGTGGATTTTGCATATACCCAAAGCAATTAATGGATTTTTTTTTTATTAATGGGGAGAGTTAAACTCTGTGTGTGTGTTTACACAAGGGTGAGAGTCAGGAATCAAAGAGGCTTGAAAAACATCTTTAAAGAACAGCTCCTGATGAGACTTATCTTTTAGGAGCATAGCACCAGCACCTACAGCTGGTACAGTGATAATCTCCTGTGTGGCATTGTGTCAGAGAACTGAAGACTTTAAAAAGGACAAGTACCATTGAGTTCATATGAACTGGATAACCTGACTCCTGTGCTCTGCAACAAACACAATGATCTGTACATAGCGTACCTCATACATCACTGACTCTCAAATCCAGAAGGATTTTAGATGAGAAGAGCAAATTAATCCTAGGAACCAAGAAAGGCTTTTTTAACTAGTTTTTTTCTCTTTCCTATGTATAGTATCTCTGAGTAGCCTCCTCTCGGCTAATCTATTATATAGGAGACAATTACCAAAGCGAACATGTTAACATACCTTTTTCTCTGTATGTAAAAGACAGAAACTTCTAAGTTTTCTAAGTCATGCTAAGTTTTCTAGGTGTTTCTGACTAAGCAAATCTGGTAGAGTGCATTGGCAAGTATAAAATAAGATGAATAAACTGAGATTTACTTTCCTACAAAGCTGCTCTGCACAAACCAAATAACCTCCCTTTAAGCAAAGACTAAAAAGCAAGGATTTTATAACTCCAGTGAAATTGATATTAACTCTAGCCTTTATTGTCACTGCTAAAATAACAGATCTATATTTACTCTATTTCCTTCAGTAGAAAATTTCAACATCAAAAATTCTCATATTCTTCACCTGTAACATGAATTTAAGTGACCCCACTCATTCACTGTGAAGGAATATGAGAAATATCTAATTTTACATAGTTTTTCAAGCACCCCAATCCATTGGATTGGAGCACTGGATACTCACTGTGTGGTTGTTGCATGTGCTCTGGACTCTGACATATAATATTATTTAAGCGTTTGGGGTTCTGTTCAGCCTTTAATAAAGATATGGGAGCAGATCCCTACGTGGTATAAATTGTCAATGTAGCTATTCCAATTTACATCAACTGAGTATCTGTCCTATTGTCCATTTGTAAAATTCAGATCCAGGTTCAGATTGAGCCTTTCCAAACTTCAGATCCAGGGTTTTGGTTCAGACCCATCACTAGCTAATATGTTGTCCATTTTCCACTCATCTCTTTAACTAGTTACACATATGAAAATGTCTGCTAAAGCTTCACTTCATATTATCCTTTCTTTAGCAATCTCACATATATGGTGCAAAACATTATCATATGCCAGGCACTTTTGCAGAGGAACTAGATGCTTCGGGCACTGCATGGGTGCCAACCCCACTGTTGTTTCATCAACAGCCAGCAGCATCCAACCCATTCCAGCCTTCAGCTGAAGTTTGTTCAGTGCATACCTTTTTCTTGTTTCATTGGACTTGGCAGTTTTAATGGTGCTTCCATCCTGAGCAATTTCTCTCTCCTGGGAGGCAGGAGCATCTCTAACTGGAAGTGGTAGCACTACAGTCTCCTGAGTCACAGGTAAAACCTCATCTTCAGCTCCCTGCTGACCTAAATGCTGCTTGGCATAGTCAAAACCTTGTACTGGCTGCAGAGAAGGAAAAAACAAAAACCGTGGGATTCCAACATGCATTATATGTCAATACAATATCTTTTGCTATTACCTATTAGCATGCTGCATCACTGCCAATTATCTATATTACGGTTATGGTTGCAACTTTTAAATGTAGCACGTACACTTAATTATATGCGCTACAATTAAAAGTTGCAACCATAATCGTAATTTAGATAATTGGCAGTGATGCAGCATGCTAATCAGACTTTTATTCAATGTGTTTTAAACCATTAATGGATATTAAATTGTCCTTGTTTTTAGTAAGATAATTGAGAAGTCAGAACTGAATGTAAAAAAGAAAGAGGAAAAGAGGAACAAATATAATAGAGGTTTCATATCCATTATAGATTGAATTAAGTTACCAAAATAAAGATGTCATTTTTTCTTGGATACATGTGGTTGACAGAATGCTATAAACATATATGAAAGCACATTGAATGATGAGATGATGGTGCTTTTTTTGTTCCCTGAGCAATTCAATTTTACCCTCACTGTACCTCTAAAACATTCCCAGTAACATTCCAGTAAATAACATGTCAAAATTATAAGCCTAGTGCTTGAAAAGGCTCCTTCAGGCTCTTCTGATGTTACTGAACATTTGAGTTATTCTGGAAAAATATCCATCCAGATTTGAACTTTACAGCTGGGCCAAAATAGTGAGTTATCCACAGTATCTTCTGCTTTGTATAAACATTTGTTCCACTTCTGTCCCTTATGGCAATAAACCAGAGACATATTTTGTAGGTATCTAAGTCTGAAAATTTTGCCATCTCTAAGAAAAGATCACTTTCATTCTGTTGAAGGTGGTTCGTCACATTTTCAGTCTCCTACTTAACACTAACGCTGATTTTTTTAAGATGCATTGACGGTGATATTCATCTGATAAGCAGCTCCAGCAGAAGTGCACTAAGGAGATACTAAATGGACTAGCATTGATTTGGACCAACAAAGTCTCAGCCCATTATAGCAGTGAAGCGTATACCATATCAGAAATGCTGGCCCCATTAACAACCATTGCTGGAAAAGGACAATGCTATCTCCCCCGTTGGGAGCTTTATATCTTCCCAATACTCTGAAGGGAAAGTACCAAAAAAGATGCCATTAGATCAACTTCAAGGGGGGAGGGAATGAAAAAAAGGGCAAGAAAGTCATATGAAGGACAGCTAGGGAGAAATACCATAAGCCATCCTAGACTCTAATAAACTGAGTAAAATTAATGGTTTAAAGTATTCATTATATATGTTAATTGTTAGCAGAGACCATCCTATTATTCTGTAAAAGGGGTAATAAAACAGAAAAGCTGTTATCAGACTGGTTAACGGACATTACCATCCCCCCTTAAAAATGGATCAATATGTTACAAAGTATACTTTAGTCTTTAAAAAAAGGCAAGAATCAGCAAACAAATATTTTGACATAACTCAAGAGTGGCGTAACCATGATCTGATTCCAACAATGCTATATCTAATTATTTTGAGTTTTTACTTATCCCTCTCCCCCAATGACAAAGGAAGAGCTGGAGAAACCATTCTCATTAGCTGATATACTGTACTAAACAACAACATTTGATCTTGGAACTCTGCTTTGTAAAAGCTCCCATGAGCAGATGGCTTTAGCACCCCAAACTAAATTGGCAAGACTAAGACCCGTTATAATGATTTACTCTGCACTGCAAGGAAAAAGATATTATCCTGGCAAGATTTCTGAGAAAGATCTAATGGGTGGAATTTGGGTAACGCTGTTGAAATGATATTTGAACACAACTGCTCAAGAAATTTCTTATATTGGCTGGATGAGACTAGAATGAATGATATGGGTTGCTGCTGACATTTGTTTCTTTGGAATTAGAGCTGGCTGGAAAATGGAAATCCCTTCCTGTGAAAAAATTTCACATTTTTGAATATTTTTATACTGAATCAGTACAAAAATAATTAAGAATTTGAAATGTTTCCCACTGGAAAGGATTTTCAGAAAGATTCCATTTGGGGAGAATTGAAACCGAATTTTTCAGCTTGCCAGCTGCCCACCTGAAGGCTCTTGTAAATTTCACTTTCTCCTGCTGGAGGCTGTGTCTAAGCTCTCTGCCTTCCCCCTAGCCCAGCTGAAGCTCCCCAGATGCATATACATAAGTCATCATTTCAATTTTCTCAGTGAAAAAAACAATTTTTATAGCAAAATTGAAGTTTTCTCATAGAAAAATTTGTTTTTGTGAAAAGGACATTTTTGGTCAGAAAATCATTGTTAGAAGATTCCTGGCCCGCTCTATTTGGAATGGTGATGTAAAAGCTGATAAATACCAGAATGACCACGTATACTCTGCTTCAGCCGATTTTATTTTTTTTTCTTGTATGCACTCTACAAATGAATGGTGGCTCTCTCTGAGGGCCTGCAGTATTTGCTTTTGCTTGAGAGACTTAGACTGTGGATTTTATCTATATTTATCTACTAGCTTATTCTTCCTTTAAAAAAAAAAAAGAAAAAAAAAGGTGACAGACTATACAATAAGATTATGGCTTTTAAAGGCATGCTATGAATTAGAACTGAAGAGATGCAGAAAAAGAAGTTAATATCTGCCCAAAAAAACTCTTCAATAGGGTACAATAATGGTGTTTCCTATATGATCATGCCGAAGCAAGAATCCTGCTTTTACAGCGAATACCAGTGTAACAGGCTGGCTGCCAGACAAATGTCTCCTCATGGCTGGGGCTCTGCAGGCAAACTGCCGCACTTTCCCTTTCATGGGACTCCTCAATAGCTCACACAGTCGTATTATTTTAAAGCATTCCCCTTCCAAAGGGGATCCAGTTTATTCAGTCCATACACACATGAATACTCCATGCCAGCTTCACCCAGCTGCCCATTGGTTCCACAGTTCAAACAAACAGTTTTCTTCCCTTGCACCAGTAATCCCCAAGCCCTCCTTCCTGGAGTTGGGTTATAATCCCAATGGTCTCGCTCTCTGGGAACCAAGAATCCTCAGGCCTCCTTCCCACAGCTGGGTTCAGTTCAGTCTCTCTCACTCCCTACAGGAACCAGTCTTGCTTCCGGGAGCTGCTTCCTCAAACCAGCTACAGCTTCCCAGACTTCTGTCCTGCCAGGGCCTCCCAGCACCCTAACTTGAGCATCACCAGTTCTCACTTGAGCGCCCTCAGCCCTCTCCTTTATAGGAGGCCTGACTAAAGATCACATGACCAGTGAGTCAGATGACTCATTCTCGCCTCCTGAACAGGTGGGTTTAGCTTGTCATAGGTGGACAGAATACTATCTCCCCTTAAAGGGCCAACCACTCAGTAACACCAAGCCTATAGAATGATATTTAAATGCTAAAGGTTTTATTATCCTTCTACCCTTTGTTCACTAATTTAATTCCATTCACACAGGAAGGATTCTGTGAAATGATGTAATAGGCAGCTCTATCTGAAGAACTGCAGTGCCCCCATTAACAGTAGCAATAGGATTGTAGCAATGAATAGGCAGCTCCATTCTGCTAGTTTTCCTTGACATAAGGCTTCTGAAATCAGATCACATAAAACTGCACAGCTAAAAAACTAAATAAGATGAATACGAAGGAGGGCTCTCCTCACAGAATTTTAATTTCCTTTATTTTAACGCAGAACAGCCAAAAAGTACCAGAAACCCTGACTCTGATAAACAGCTTTCAAACACAAAATATACAGAAGTGAGATTTCATAACTGTTTCTTAAACTGGAAATATCTACTGCAACTCCATTTTTTAAACAGATTTTGGCCTGGAAGGTTTGCAATAATCAAGTGGTTTCAAGCACTTTTGTAATGAATGAAATTGTACATGTTTACTTTAAAATATATTATACATGTTACCATCAATCATTTGTATTGCGAGTTTTACATTTAAGATTCTGTAGTAATTATAGCACTGGTAATTATTCTTATGCCTAATAGGCTCAAACTCCAAGTAGGTTAAGATGAAAATATATTGTTCTTCTTGAGATATTCTTATTTCATTATCTGCCAAAAATATATATATTTCTCAGCACCATTTTAAGCAGAAACATCAACATCAGAGATGGGAAAGACTATTTAACCATCCGGTCCATCTCCCTGCCAGTGCATCTGTCCAATCTACACCTTCCAACTGGAGCTGACAGAAACGTTTCTGACAAAAGAGTTTTCCATCAGAAAATTTTGTCAAGAACGTGTCGTTTAGATAAAATGTCCTTTTGAAAAAATCAAAATGAAGCACTTTGATAAGGTTGAAACATTCATTTTTGACCTTATCAGAACGCTCAGACAGCAAGCAGGGTTTTTAATCATTTCAGTCCCCTATCTGCGAAAAGAGGGAAGCCAACAAGGAGAGTGAAGGGACAGTGATGTGCACACGTGCTCATTAGCCTAAAAACACCTCACACAATCCTGGCTTTGGTGGGTTGCCGAGCCTAGAAGCTGAGATTTTAGTGATGCTGTAGCCCATCTGGGTAGGTTGGCAGCTTTTTCCACTATGGGGAGATACAGTACTTTAAAACAGAATATGTACTTTATAGAAGGAGATTCAAATGTGGGACTTATCTGTCAGTGCCCCTATAATTTACATGGCTCATTAAGTAAAGAGGAAGTATAATTTCCTTAATTCCCTGTAAACTATATTTGCAAGTGGATTAGAAGTACGAAAAAAAGAAAAGAAAAGAGTGGTGGTGGGGGGGGGGAAACGGTTGCCATTTCTGCATTACTAATTGGCTGGAACAGTTCTAATTTAGGACTAGATTCTCAGCTTCTGTCAAAGCAAAGAACTTTCACTAGTCAACTCTTATTAGTGCTAATGGGAACTGCTTAGCGGAAATTCTGTGCATAGAATTGAGAATCTCTCTGTCACAGGGCAGGGCTTCTCCCCACTTCGAAACACTCACTGCCAGGCCCAGTCTCCTGTAAGAAGGTTTATTCTCTTAACAGAGGCAGGTAAACAAACAGAAAACAGTCTTTTACCTCACTCCTTTCTCTGCACAGCAACTAGGCAACCATGTCTGGCCCATGCCAGCCAACTCGGACTCGAGGGACTTGGGCTGTGTCATTGCTACGTAGACTTCCCGGCTCAGGCTGGGGCCCAGGCTCTAGGATGTGGGAGGGTTCCAGGGCTCTGCACAGAAGTTCGCTCCACTCCACCATGGCTTGGCTTGGCTTCCCCAGAGAGAGCCTGTCCCAATCACTCTATCTTCCATCTCACATTTCCTGCCCTATGGCAGCCCAAGGGTAGCCCACCCCCTTTATTGGCTAGATTGGGCTCACCTCTTCTTCCACAGGGAGCTGGGCTCAGTTCTACTCACAGGGATCAGCTACACTGTGACAATCTACCTTAGAAACAGATCAAGGTTTGATTTTCCATTTTTATCTTTTGCTCCCCAATTGATAGAAGAGACAACTGCCATGGGTGAAGCATGCTTAGTCCTGTGGGAGGGAATAACCATCTTCTGTATGGTTAGACAGAAGTTGTTATGGGGTCCAAGGAGAGTCCTATGTCTAGCCCTTCTAGGGAGGAAGGGTGATTGCTTTGGCAGAAGGTCTCAAGTGGGGGGGGGGGCAGAAGCAAAAAGCCAAGGGAAACTGAGGCATAGGTCTTTCATCTCACTCCAGGAAAAAGCAAACAGGTTCTGTAACAGCTGAGAAAGTCCTAGCCTGAGTGTACTGACCACTTAAAGTCTCAAATGTCCTTTAAACATGTTTAGGAAAGGATCTAAAGAATGAACACTGGGAAAATTAATGAATGTGCTGAGACTAGACATCTCCTGCTTGAACAGACACTTACTTTAGCTCTCTGAGGCAGGTTCATCATGGTGTCTGGTTTGAAATCATTCTTGTTCTTCCTGCACAGAACTGCTGTGATGATGATGATGATAACCGTAACCACAGCAATGGGAGCCAGCACTGCTGCAATGATCCACAGGTTGTTTGGTGGGTTTTTCACCACAGCTGCATAAATTGCAAGCCAGAGAGAGTCAGTGTTCCACCATCAGTTGCTATGTAAAAGCAACAGAAGAACTAGCTGGGTACTTCCTTAAATGGTCTTCACATAACAATTAGTACAAAAGATTTATTATTTATTCATTTATTTATAATAATTTGTTGGAATTTCTACAATACAAATAGATCAACTGACTTCTACGATCAATCCCTGAGCTCTCTTCTCTCAAATTCCATGTTCCTAGTGATAGACAGCTGCAGAGCACTCCTCTGATTCCTGAGACCAAGAAGTTGGATGAGGTCACACTCAAATGGGTTTTTCAAAATTTAAGTAAAATAATGTTGAATGAAACAAGCCATAGATGTTTTCCTAAAATAAAAAGCCAGCAGAGCTTGGACTCAGATAGTTTGTGTGTTAAAAATTTGCACATTGCGCCCAGTCCGGCTCCTACAGAAGACATTGGTGCAGACTCACAGCTGCTATGAATTTGCATAGCTCCTTTGAAGCCAATGAATTTAAGACAACTCACACCAGCTAAGGATCTGGTTCATTGAGAGTTTTGCCATTGACATCGGCAGAACTGGTCCCTTTGTAGTGCTGCTGTTGTGCTATAGCTTTTTTGGCAGTCACAGGACGGGCGTCGCAAAGAGGACAAAATTCGGCACTTGGGGGGAGTGGAATATAGGGGCTGGGAAAAATCATTTTCAGAAATATTGATAATTGCACCAGAATATGAATTATTTCCATGTATTACCACAGTGCCTAGGACAAACCCCACTATGCTAGATGCTGTACATCACAGCACTAATGCATATCTCAACTTATATTACTTGTTAGAACATGTTTACCTAGAGGGCACTCTAAAATTCTAGATTCCATTTTATTTGAGTAAATTGCCACTTAAATCTCTCAGCATATACAGTACATTTAATTAGTGTATATATTAAATATCCTGCTGTGAAATAAATGCACTTTTTTCTCATTTAATTTCTTTTTGCAAATGCTTATGCTAATCACCACATTTTGTTTCTTAATTTTGTTTGACTATTAAATTATTAGGCTTAACCTGTATTCTGTATTTATCTTCCTATCTCACTGGCTCCTGGCATGGAAAAGGCGATTATGAAAATACTAGTGTGACATTTCTAACAGACTTACTCCACTTTCTATTTGACTTAACAGACTATACCAAGGACCAGATTCTGCAAAGTGATGCATGCCCTCAACTGCCACTGACTCCACTAGCTGTCAAAGGCACTTTGCACCTGGTAGCACCAAGCCCTAAATGTATAGCATCTGGCTACCAGTAATTACCATAGTATAACTAGCTAAAAGCCTGTCTGCGGCTTGATCTTGTCATCCTTGGACACACAGACCTCCTTGGAAGTCAGTTGTAATTTTAATATGCTGGAATAACGCAATCAGGTGCTCAAAGGCATATTTTTGCACAGACTCTAAACTGGAATAGTATGTTTAATTAGATCTCAAAAAAGGCAGTGCAGACTCTGAATTTTAACCAACAGTGTCCCTCTTAATAAGCAATGTTCACTACTTAATGACCTTAGGTCATTAAATTAATATCTTACTATGGGCTATTTTTTGGTTTGGGGTGTTTAAAACAAAGTCTTCAGTCCAAATTTTACCTGACAACATCCACTTTAATAACCAACTACCCAAGCAATTGTAGAAGAGGTTTATATTATGAGCACTGGAAAATGTGCAGTTATTTCAGAAGAGTGTAGAGAGAAAGGGATGATCTTGTGGTTCATACAAAGGACTGAGACTCAAGAGATTTGGGTAAGTCACTTGCGAATCAATGCCCAACCAACAGGAGTCTTTCCACTGACTTCAATGGGCTTTGTCTCAGGCCCTTAATCTCTCTGTCTCAGTCCCTCATCTGTAAAACCAGGACAATAATATTTTTTCCCACCCTTGGTCTGTCTTGACTACTCAGATTGTAAACTCTTTAGGACAGGGACTATCTCTCGCTATGTATCAGAGCAGCACCTATCACAATGGGGCTCCTCCAGGCACTACTATAAAACAAACAACAATGCATCAAAACGAAGAATTTGTAAAATATCTTTCTTGTAATTACAAGGAAATACTTGTACTGTGTTCAAAATGAGGCAATGGGAATATTTTATTTTACTAGCAAGGTACTGGGATGCTTTGTCTCTTCCACTCAAATCGTCCAATCTGAGAGTTTTAGCTATCCAAGCTCATAATTTCATTTAATGATACTCTGTAAACTCTTGACTTCACCTGGTACAGAAATGGAATACGTACACCTACAGATAAGCAAAGCCTCCTTATAACACCATGCAAGTACAAGATCAGGTCAGCTCAAATCTTGCAAATAACATATAGTCACTCAAACATCCATTTCAAGAGTTTAAAAGCATGTACAGAAAAGAAGAGGACAGTATGTTCTTCTAATTTACAGCCATTTTAGCAGGAAAGGCACTCTGAAGCATTTTATGGGAAACAATGTAATTTAGAATTTGAGGGAATGTAATTTATGCAAACAGGGGTCAAAAATCTCCATTGTCTGCTGAACAAAGACTGAAAATCAGTAATACAGCGTGATCAAATCTAGGACCAAACACAGGATGCATTGTACTCACTGGAATTGATATTGCACCTTTTGAGCCATTTTTCTGACTTCCTCTCATGCTTATAGCCAATATTTTAATCATTTGTTAAAATTATTTCTCCTTTTTCTATCAATGTTCTTTGTAGCTTCTCTAATGTCAGTGCTTCATCCAAACAGATGGAATGGCTATTCTTTTGTACGCAGCAAGTGCCACCTGACTGAAGATTTTACTAAAACAAGTGCGTTTGAAATTAGAGTGTGTGGGTTAATGAGCACATCCCATAATTAATGTTGCATTTGAATATTCGTTGTGAGAAATAACAATAAATGTGATTAAAACTGGGGATTGAAAAATTAAGAAAAGGATTCTTACGATCAGCTTGTACTTGGATGACATAACCTAACGTCAAGGCCATCCTTTGAGAATCAACAGTACTCAACATTTTGGCAGCTGCAGTTCCCAGCAGAGGTTTCCTGTTGTATAATGTATAGTAAGTCAGTTCAGCGGGCTCCTTGGGTCCTGGAATACGCTGCATTTTTACCATCTTATAATAAAAGGAGAGAGAAAGAGACAGAAGCCATGTTTATATTGTACCATCACTTAGATCCTGATTCTGCACAGAGCCACCTCCAGGCAGACCTCTGCATCTGTCAAGAATCCCATTAACATGCCACACAAGTGCAACTCAATGCAAAACTTCTCATAGGATTTGTTTCATAGCACTGCTATGTTTACCAAGCATACAGCAGTCCTTCCTGACAACCTTTATATGAATCTTTAAAAAATATTTCTAATTTGAAATCCCTAGACTAGAAAACAAAGGCAGTGAAAAAAGAAAGTAAAATAGCAAACAAAATGTCAACTCTTTTTGGGGTCTCTACAGTGTAGTCCTGTTGTCAACTTGCTTCTGTGCCATGAAAAAAGCAATTAAACGGAGAGAAATTTAAATGTGCTTTTATTTAAAATTACACTTTGCTGGTATTCTGTGGGTAACAAATCCTTGCACCCACCACAGGCAAACAAAAAGACCCTTTTGGTTTTGTTCTGTCATATTGGCAGGTTTGGAAGTGCACCTCTTTATCTTTCCTATGTTAAGTGGAGTTTTGCTAAATGTTTATAATCACATGAAAAAGAAAGGGACTTTTCTTTTTTGCTTTTGTTATGGACTCAATGTTTTCATGTAACATTTTCCTAAGATTCACAATTTTATCAAATAAAAATGTCCCCCCCTTTTAATTGTTTCATATTGGGAACACAGAGAATTGTGGGGAAGATGTTTGCAATGCAAATACTAGAAAATAGTCATTTTTAAAAATATTTCACAGTAAATGAAGTTTGGAGAAAGGTGCAGAAAACTGACAACTTAGCTTTTGAAATTTTGCAGTCTGAAAATTTTGAATTACATGAAAGTAGGGTAGCTGGATAACTTTGGTGTAGAAACAAAATAAGCTCTCGTGGAAAATACTGACTGGGTATTTAAATCTCACCAAAGAAAAGACAAAGGTCATTTCACAATGCAGTAGTCTGTCTGATTCATTAGTAAAATGTTCAGGTTTGAGACCCTCATTTCAGAATGTGATCTCTGTCCCTGCACAGAACAAGGCCATATTAAAAAACAAATAAAATTTAATTTTAAAAAATCCCTGACTGCTTTGCACAGGATCTCATCACAATGCATAAATCAGATACAGCTTTTACTTATTGTGTCAGCCATATGAAAGAAGACCTATAGAAATTCTCTTCACTTTTGAGAATATAGCAAAGCTCTTACTGAAGTTAATTTAACTACTAGACTCTTTCTACTAAAGTTAGCATGCTACATAAACATATATAGTAAGCAGAGAGCAAAATATTTCCTACTGCAGAGCAACCACTGTCTATTTCCAAAGAGAAAAGAAACATGAAAACATGCCTGACTTTGCAAACAGAAACTCCTTTGAGATGACCTGCACAACTCTCACGCTGGTTTGGTATTCATGAATAAGGATGTCCAAACTCATTCCAATTAACTATTTTGCACAACAATCCCTGCAGTATCTATGCACCTAAAGCCTTTTTGAAATAGTATCTGGATACAACTTGTATCCTATTGATCACCTGCACAGTGTAGCTGCCCACAGTAGTAGCGCGTTTAAATCGCCTTCCTTGTTGATGGGACATCACGAACAGTGGGGCCAGCCGCTGCTCCATTAGTCTTGCAAAGCTTTGGTTGTTAAGTCCCAGTAATGTAATGTCGACCCCTTGTATAACTGTGGCAATGGAGAAAATCTCATATCAGCAGATTGTGCATGGATGGATTCAATAATACATGGCTGCAATGGTGTATTTGACAAAGATGTACAAGCTAGCTTAGAAGAAAAACAACCTGATAACAAATTTACACACTCTAAATAATTTCCATTGTGGGTATAACATGACTTTCTGTTTCCAGCCACTATACTGTTTTTCTCAGATAATCCGTCAGCTACATTTCTACACACAGAGAATAAAATCCTCCAACAGTGTTCTCAGCTTTTCGGTTTACGAAAAGGTCTTTGAGTATCTCTACATCTACACCAAGCTTCAATGCAAAATAAAAGCAAACCCTTAAATGAAAAGCATAAGAACAGACAAGCCTCAAGAAGGTTATCAAAGGACAATTATATGCATTTGTCAGGTAAAGGGACAGTTTTTCATCCAAGAGTCTGTAAATCTGAAATTGAAATTCTACAGGATTCAGTTTGACAAAACATTCTGTGTTCTAGGGCACTGAATGATTTGTGAATACACATGTTTGATTTAATAAAGTCCAGTAAATTGTAAAGCATATACAGTATACTTTACATAATTCATACATGTTCACTGTATTTTTGAAGTCATTTCAAAACTTTAAAGGGCTTACCCTGGCAGTTGGAGTTATGTTTTCAAAAACTAGAATATCTATAGTATCCCACTGAAGTCAATGGGAATTTTGTGTCTGCAAGAACTGGAGCATCAGGCTCATTGAATCTGATCCAAAGCCCTCTAAGGTCAGTGGGAGTCTTTCCATTGATTTCAATGGGCTTTGGATCAGGCCTGTGATGAATTGCGATAATCTTTTACATAAGGGTAAGTCTTCATCTCAAAAACATCACAATGTAACATAAATAAGTTGAACAAGGATACCAAATCACAGGGGGTGTACAATAGAATTTGATCCATTTCATGTAAGGTTCTTTTTATTTTCTCTTTTGAATTAATAGTAAGGATTCCAAGTACTGACACAATGATATTGTGAAATTTAGTTTTCTATTGGATCAAAGATGCCAAAAAAACTTTACTGGCCCAGCTATGACTTCTAAGTGTAAAAAAGATTCTCAGTAGGAGTGTGATATAGTGGATATGTATCAGAGGGGTAGCCGTGTTAGTCTGGATCTGTAAAAAGCAACAGAGAGTCCTGTGGCACCTTTAAGACTAACAGATGTATTGGAGCATAAGCTTTCGTGGGTGAATGCCCACTTCGTCGGATGCATGGACATGGACATGCATCCGACGAAGTGGGCATTCACCCACAAAAACTTATGATCCAATACATCTGTTAATAGTGAATATGATTACACTGTAAATACAGTATTGTGAAGATCATTAGCATTCTCTGCTGACGTACTAAAGTTATATAAAGTTCAGATTCAGAAACTCTTTGATCCAGAGACAGCAAGTGAGTCATCACAAACTTTGTTACATTCTACAAATATTCATTTTTTCTGGGCTTGAATCCAAACTTCTTTGAATTTCAGATTTAAATCCAAGACCTACATAAAATATAAGTACTAGACACAGGAGACTGCCACCACTGAAGCTGGCAAAAATCACAGCTGTGCCCGGGAGTAGCTATAAATAGGTGAATAGTTCTGCTATATGCAATGGGACATGTTCAATGTGACTACTATTCATTTTCGTGTGAAGTTACTCACTGATGTGTTTGCAGGACTGAGTCCTAACAATTCTCCTGAGACAGAAAAAAGTACCTGTAATCACCCAGTAGTCTCTAGTAGTTTCTGAGACATCGAGGTTTGGATACTCCAAAGCTTAAAAAAAAAATTAAAAATTACTTCATAATATTCCAGCATTCAACACATTATGCGTCTCAAAATATATAAATTAACCAAGCACTAGGAAATAAGGCTAAAGTGTGGCTTTGCCACAAGCCCCACGTATGGGGCAAAACATTAGTGTGCTGCCCAGGAGAAGACCTGGGGAAACACCATGACTCCAAGGGTCACAATCTACTTCACGATTTGTCCCTTGCTTTGTGGGAGTGGGGCAGCAGTCAAAAGTATACTGTGCCGAATCTACTCCTAGCACAACACACATGCCCCGGTGCAGCTGTGCCAGCTGGCATATTGGGAGGCGATGGAACCAAGGTACCTTCCATTCCAGAGACACCATCCTTGCTCTGAGACTTTTAGGGACATTTATGAAAAAATTAGGGAGGAATTATGGAAATTGCTTGGAGCAGCAGCAAGAGTCAAAGGTAAGAGGGCAAATATACACAGGTGGCCTGGGGTAGCGGCTTGAACGCTTGTGGTGCATTTTAGATGCATGGTAGAGTAATAACAGCGGTAAGCTGGAGTAACATTTAGTAACATCAACTTCTGTGACCAGGAGTGACCATGATATTGGCCGTATACTCATTCCTTTGCAAGCACTTCTGACACCATTTTGCGTGGTTTTTTTTTTTTTTTTTGTGGCGGTTTTGGCTGATTTTGTCCCTGGGTTGGGGCACTGATAAGAGGCAAGCTGTGACAAGTTTGAATGGGTTGGGGCACGGGTTTCACTGCCCAAGCCACAGGCTGCATGTTGCGCTCTAACTACCCCGTGTGGACCTGCTCATGTTTTACATTTTGACCCTCTTGCACTTTTACATCTCAAATGTGCCTTATAACGTGAAATTCATTAGCAATTAATTCACAATCTAGATCTGCAGCTTTTTCATTACAAGGGAAAATGTGGAAAGGATTTAATCTATGGCATATAGCAGCTTTAGTTACCATAGAATTTTAGAAAACAAAATAAAGTGATTTGAAATATTAAACTTTGCAAAGCATTGTATCACCGCTTATTTTAACTGTCTTCTTCTTCTTCGTATGGCTGATGTAAACATATAATTTTACATTCAGATGGCTGATCCAGATAATTGCATCAGGAGTAGTGGAGTGTATCGCTGTAATGCCTCCTTTGGATTTGTGAATCAGGCATTGAGTTGTTATATGTTCCATGGTCTGTTCTGGGTGACCACAGTCGCACATCGGAGAGTTTTTAATTTTTCATTTGTGCAGCAAGTATCCACATCTGCCATGATTTGTGCAGATGCCGTTCAGGGTTACTTGAACTGTGCATATATATGATAACTCCTGAAGGCTCTGAAGGAACCATTACAGCCTTCTGGGAAATAATGAGTTCTCACAATGATAGGAATAGTTACCTGGTAGACTGATACCATTACGGTGTCAGGTTAATAAGCACAAAACAATTTCCTAAGTAAATATTTACACAACGGTCAGTATCAGTCTGAGGCTATATATTTTGCATGCACAGCAGGTTCATCAGTCAGCTGCATACCTGCTGTGGGGGGAATTTAACCAAAACCTGCAACTTCTCTTTGAAGCCATTACATGCTGTGCTACAGCAGCACTAGCTAAGGACTTGATCATGCCTACTAGGCACAGACCTGTGCTGGGGGCAGTGAGGAACTGCATTACCTCATGGGGAGCTCTGGTAGCAGGGCCGGCTCTACCATTTTTGCTGCCCCAAGAAAAAAAAAAAAAAGCCGCCCGAACTGCCGAAGCAAAAAAAAAAAAAGCCACCCGAACTGCCGTGCTTCCTCCGCTGGTGCCTGGAGCCGGTCCTGTCTGGCAGGGATTCTGCCTCAGTGAGAGAATGCCTTCCAGAGGTCCCTTGCACATGAGGAGCATGCCTGCTGCTATACTGCCTTTATGGAGGGCAGCATACTCCTCTCCCTTGCACACCAGTCCTGCTGTGGAGGCTGGTTTGGAGAGTGGGCCAGGGCCTTCGTCCCAACCTCTCTGGGATCTCTCTGTGCACCAGAAGTAGCCCTGAATCTGCAACAAGCACATGGAGTTGCGTTGGCCACGCAAAGAGAAAAGGCTCTTTGTGCATGACTCCCCTTTCACCTGCATAAAGTTCACAATCTGGAACTGATAAACATGTGAGCAGGCTGATGCTGTGAAACTGTCCCAAGACGGAATTGTCTCAGGCAGTCCAAGATGCAGTACAGTTAGTGATGCAAAACTGTACAGTTTCAACCACAGTAATTCAGTTCCCTGCATTGCGATTGGTTGTGATGCGCTGATTTGTACAATCATAGTATGGTTATTTCTCAATGGCAATCCACTATGTGAATCCCTGTACTCTGAGTGACAGATGGCCATTCTACAAAGGCAGGGTTAGGCTGCGACTCCTGGCCTACTCGCATTGATGAGTGAGCAGTTACTCATGCAAATGACTTCAAGGGGACTATTTGGAAGAGTACCTCATCATCAGTGTGAGAAAGGGGGTCAAAATATGGCTCTATATGGTTATTTCTCAATAAGGAAGAAAGGACCAAAAGGGTGATTTAACATTTCCCCGACTTCTCAAGTGTGACAACACTGTTTCATTAGGCCAGGAAATGTATTACAGTTTCTAAGGATTTTCTCTTAAGATACAAACTCCAATAATTCAGAGGTAGGAGCAAAAATCTGTGCTTAGCCCTACCCTGTTAGGACTAGTTATTGCAACACATACGGAATGGAAAATAACACACTGAGAATCCCATGAAATGGATAGGTCTGATAGGCTGGGTCGAAGACAGTGTTTGAGCCTTATCATTGAATTTCTTGGCTACTATAGGCTTAAGCCAGACCTTTATTGTTATTCCAACACATTCTTTAATATTTGAGAAGTGTATCATGAAGACTTATGCATAGTAAGATCAATTGGAACCTGCTCTCTTTTAACTCAAGACCACTATTACATATTAATGTTCCCCCATTGTGTCTTTGTCTCCATTTACACTGATCTTTTCCTGTGAATAGCAAACTCGTAATTATACTGAGCCTAATTTCACAGGCCGAATTTAAATGATCAAGCAAAAATCCTCATAGCAACCAATATTCTTGTGTCTTCACTCATTTTATGGAAATCAGAATATTACATGGGTCAAAGAGAATACATTCTGTGCGTACTGCCCTGAGGCATGATTTTCACTGATTCACAGCATCCTTGCCTCATAACACAGGGAAATAAGAGGCTTCATAGCGTGAAATGAAAACTTCATCCTGAAATATTTAAACCTTGTTTGTGATTTAAAGAAATGTCTTGCAAAGTTAGCATAAGACACTCAGAAAAGGCAACAAAGAGTTGTTTCAAACAGGTTTTTAAACACAGTTCTTCCGCTCTTCACTTCAAGGCCTTCACCCATTCCCCACTCTAATGGTTTCAAAAGAACCTGAATCTGTTGACATTCAGAGCACTACAAAGTCCATCTATTTCAACAGGCATTTGGGCTCTAATTCTGCTCCTGCTGAAGTTAATGTCAAAACTCCCATTAATATAATGGTGCAGAATCAGGCCATTGGTGAGGGTGATGCTTGCGGGGTAGAGAGAGAGAGCGAGGGATGTTTTGTTATGTTTTTTTGATTCAGTGCTGGCTTTATAGTTGTGTGAGATCTGCCACTGTTTTGCCACTGGGAGAGGGGTGGAGGGAAGGAAGAAGTTTTATGCATTCGTAAATATTTACCAGGGTTCCTAGAGGCTCGGATAGGTGTCTATTTAATATGTTAAATTGAAATAAATAAATAAAATAAAATGCATTTTAAATTTCCATTTGTTACATTTCAAAGTACTTCAAGCAGAGTCAGCATATCTTTACAGAACAGTATAATGTAAGAGCTTACATTCTGCAATGGTCAGTGGCGGATAGGTAAGATAGAATCCCACCAGCTCAGCTGAAAGCTGATTAAGAAGGTAGCTGGAAATGGTGCCATTTAGGGCTGTACTTTGATTGCTCACCACATAAAACAAAGTGACAGCTTGGGAGACATTTGATGTGTTCAAAATCTGAAACAAAACAAAAGTAAAGAAACAGTGGGAGGCTACATTTCAACTCGTTAGTTCGCACATTTTATATAATCAGTCCGAATAACAAATCAGAGAAATGTTAACTGTGATCATCATTTTCTGTAAAAAGGATGTGCTCTGTTTAGCACATGTAGCTTCATTACTGAACAGAGGCAGGTGGAACAGGAGTAGCAGGGCCGGCTCCAGGTTTTCTGCTGCCCCAAGCGGCAAAAAAAAAAAAAAAAAAGCCGATTGGCAGCACTGCGGCGGCAGCTCAATCGCACCACTCCATGCTTCGGCGGCAGTTCAGTGGGGAGTCCTTTACTCCCTCTCTTCCTCTTCGGCGGCACTGTGGCGGCAGATCAAAGAGGAAGAGAGGAACTGAGGGACCTGCCGCCGAATTTCCACCAAAGACCCGGACGTGCTGCCCCGATACCGGACAGAGTGCCGCCCCTTTGTATTGGCCACCCCAAGCACCTGCTTCCTTAGCTGGTGCCTGGAGCCGGCCCTGAGGACTGTAGCCCCGAGTGAGGACCAGAAATTCTATTCCTGATTTTCAATGGAAAAATGGCAAAAATACAAGGAGGGTGAGACTGATTATTTGATAGATAAAATATTAAAAGCCTTTACTATGGGGAAGTGGCAGCCCCCTCCCCCCCCCCATGTACTCCTCAAGGGGCATCAGTCCCTTCTCTATCATCCTACTGAGGTTGCATAAATCTCCTCCTCTCTCTTCCATCTTCATGGGAAAAGGTCCTCCCCTTTCTTTCTGATCTTGCTGCTGTGTTGAATGGCTGTCTGCTCTCTTCCTCACCCCCATCTTGGAGCCCGCCTCTACTCATACTGTGTCTGGCATCTGCGAGGAGTACAGGAAGGGAAGAGGGGTGCTGAGAGAAGCTCTGTTGTACCTCCCTTCTCCTCCTATATTGCCACACATACCAGCCACAGACTAGGAGATTATTGAGGTATAAAAGAAAAAAAGGTTAACTTTACTGCTTTTATATAGGTTTTGCTTTATGCTTATTCATATAAATCATCATTTGATTTAACTGCCTCTTTTTAGGGTTACAGTCAACACACAAAATGTGTCACAGTATAGTCACTCGATAGAATTCTCTGCTCTGATTATCACTGGTGATTCTACAGGATATCAAAAACACACAGGACTGTAATCAATAAACCCAATGTTTAATGTATTTATCACTAACACAGGCTTTATAAGGATATGAGTACACTTCAACATAAGCCTGGGCTTGAGCTCAGTTTAAGCCTAACTCCCCCATGCATCTACATTGCAATTGCTCAGACCTGAAGGCTGGAGGGTCGGAGCTCAAGTTAAGCCAGGACCCAAGGTCCAAACCCTATTGTTTGGCAGCATAGATGCAGCCCTGCTTGACTCGGGTCTCGGGAGTCAGTCGGAAGTATCCCACAGTTCCTTGGGACAATTTCCATAGTTCTTTCTATCCCAACAATCTGCAATCCACTCTATTGAAAACAGAAGAAAGCACACACACCTCGCCCCTTTGCGAATGGCAGTAGCTCAAGTCAGAGTTAACCCATTCTTCTCTGATTACCAATCTGCAAGCATACTATCAGAGAGCCTCCTGGGTTTGCAATGGAAAGTGAACCCATCAAGCCTTTTGAAAAGCTAACTGCTTCCTGGTCACAGGAGGACAGCCAGATTTTGGTGACTCTCTGGTGCAAGGCCAGTAAAACTGTGGACTTAAGCACCAGGAATGACCAAGCATACCAGCAGACAGCTAAAAAACTGGCAGCTCTGCAGGTTTTCTAGACAGGTGATCATTGTAGGGAGCATATTTAGAGGCCAAAGAACGAATATGAGAAGACCAGGGACAAGAACTGAACTTCAGGCAACCTGCCAATAACATGCCCATTTTATGATTACTTTGACTAGATCCTGGGCACTGTGCCCAGTATACAGCCATCCATGTTTCATGAGGACTTGGTGAGCTGGGATGGTGCCCTGCTGGCCCTTGAAATCAGCATAGGAACAGATGGGAGCCAGCACCAGGCTCCCAGTCAGGAGCATGAAGTGACTCTTTTAACAGAACTAATCCCAGAGCAGTAACTACATGAGTAACTTTAGGCATGTGAGGACTCTCCACTCCCATAAATCTTTGTACGATCTTTGCAGGATCAAGCCCATGGTGCACAGCACAGATTTACAAACACGGAGCATATAGGACATAAAGAAAGGCGATTCATTCCCTTGGTTCTGATCCTGCAAACACTTGCACATCTTTAACTTTACACACATGAATAGACCCACTGGTTCTTAGTCAAAGTGCCAGAAATGACATGTTCTACACTTCAAAGTTCAGTAACAATATAGAGAAAAGTATCTTACACTTTATTGTCAGAAGGAGTTTTGTTGGAGCTGACTTGTAATAAATACAAATAGTATTAGAATGATGACTCTACGTAAACCTGAAACTCAGTAAATTTTCCATTCAGAAAAGTGACATGAATAATGGTTTTTCAAATAATAAAACAGCTTTTTATGCAACTATGCTTCATCATCTTTTTTCACAAATGTTGCATCCATAAGATCTTAGTAAAATGTAAAACAGCATACCTAATTTAATATCAAAATATAAAAACATTTCCAAAGTGACTATCAAGTTTATTATGTTGACATTAACATAATGTCTACAAGCACTCTTAACAGCAGGGAATAATCATATGTGACTTAAAGATTGGCTAAAGAGGTTAAATTTTACCTGAACTGTTAAGTTGTTGCTAGTGTTTAAGACCTTTCTTTCAGCATCCTCGAATGCTTTTCGTAACCGTTGCTCCATGGTCTGAACAAACTTGCATGACTGTATGTTGTCTGCTTGACCAACAAACTGCAGCTCTACAACAGGAATAGTATGTGTGAGTTTTAGTGAAAATATATTCCTAGTCTGCATAACTCCTATAATGAGTCACACCAAAATGATAAATTTAAGAAATTAAACAAGAGATAGTAATATCATGTGAGGTTTGCTTATGTTTTTAAGCAGCATTATAAACAGTTTATCATTAAGATAAAATACAAGAATTAAAATCTGTGATTAAAAGCATAAATAAAAGTGATATGTATGATTGCATGTTCTTGTTCAAAGGCTAAGGGACAAACAAAAAGCATTTTAAAAAAAGGAATGATATCTTTAAAATCTTTAAGGATTTTAACCTCATAGGAAAGAAAAAAAAATCATCATACAGATTCTCATTCTTTTTTCTCTGGATAATAGTATACTCAACAAGATATTTGTAATATATTTTATATGCTTATGAAATCTCTTTGAAATTCAAAATGTGTCTTTACAGGCTGACTTGCTAGTGCAACACTTCACCTACTATATGGGGAATCAGTCTGGAGACACAAGGTAAGTATGGACCAATTCCCCCACATTCTCCTATTACTCTGCACTGAGTACTGCAGTAGTGTTACAGAGAGGTTAAAATGATAACCCAGGTTTAGGATGTTTGGAATCCAAGACCCCAGTTGGTCCAGCAAGACCCATGCATATATGGGGCTCCCAGCATCATAGGAAATACATAATATGCTTAAGAATACATTTCACACATTTAGTTCAAGGCCTGAGGATTTCAAATATTTAAATATATTGGGTCCAATTCATCCCAGGTGTAACTCCACTGTTTTCAGCGGAGTTGCACCCAGGATAAAGATGTCCCACCATTCTCACATTTAAAGAGATAGGGCACGGACAATGGGTACTCCTGGAGGAATTCTGTGCCACTGCGCATTGCAGAATTTTGCAGAAATTAACGTTGTGCATGCAGAATTTCCTTTCCCCCCATAGAAATGGGCTGCAGTGCTGCTAGCCGCCACTAGGGGCCACTGGTCCCGGCAGAGCCCAACTTGCATATAGAAGACACTGCTGGGGGGAGGGAGCTAGAGGTTTCTGGCAATTGCAGATCCCAGCATGCTTTGAGAGAAGGAGAGGGCGGCACGCAGGAAACTCCATGTAAGCCTGGGACCGAGCACCAGGCTGTTTCTCCCTCTGTATCCCTGGGCTCTGGGAGGGAGGGGGATGGGTGTCTGGGCAAGGGGCCCTGCAGCTGAGCTCTGGGGAGGAGAGGATTCGGGTGCATTGGCTGCGGGGGGGCGGAGGGGGTGGCACAGGTGGTCTCTGAGGGAGAGGGGTTGTGGGTGTCTGGCCCCCTGGCTGGGCTGGGGGGGCGGGAAGAGGGCAGAGAAACAGGAACTGGATTGTCATAGGGGTTTCTTTAACTCTCTACTCCTGGGGGGAAATTTGTGTGTGTCCGTATTGTTACAGACATACTTGCTGACAGGTATTTTGAAATAAATTAACAAAATAATTGAAACTGGTGTGATTATGTAGTGTTATTTTGACAAATAAAATTTGGAGAATTTTAAAATACACCTCTACCCCGATATAACGCGACCCGATATAACACGAATTTGGATATAACGCGGTAAAGCAGCGCTCCGGGGGGCGGGGCTGCGCGCTTCGGCGGATCAAAGCAAGTTCAATATAACGCGGTTTCACCTATAACGCGGTAAGATTTTTTGGCTCCCGAGGACAGCGTTATATCGGGGTAGAGGTGTATTGTGCACAGAATGCCCCCAGGAGTAAATGGGACTGCACACATGGAACTGGGTACCAAATTTAGATCACTGTTTTCTCTGAGAGGAACTGATGTCTGAACTGACAGCAAGTTGTGTAGTAGGAAGAGAGCCTGAGACATAAGCCCTTGTATCAGAGGCCTGGTATGAGGCAGGACCTGCTCACAGAATCTGGCAAGAACAGGGCTGATATTGCAGAAATACACATTCCTAAGAAGTGCTAAGTACAGAGTACTCACGCAAACACATCCCAATATCAAGGATGGTACAAAAACATTCCCCAAGGATAACAGAAACACACTGACCCCTCCTAAAAGATAAGGGCAGGATGACAGTACATAACTTTTGTATTGGTATATAAAGATGTATCTCAGAGGGAGTGTCTTTGGTCAGCCTAGGGGACAGTGGAAAGTCCCGCCACTGACTGAGCTGTGTCCACTGTTACGGGCATACATGTCTTAGTCTCCTCAGAGAGTTCCAGGTGCTATTACCATGCTTCGTCGACAATAAATCTGGCTGGGCGCCTTCGTACCTTAAAAGATCTTGTGGTCATTGGGCGGTTCGCTCGAGGTCTGCTGTGCCAACTGTCTGTGCAGAGCTGGGACAGCACACAGGGAGAACACACACATGCAGCCAACTATCTAACCACAAGTTGTGCAACTGTTACACCAGATATGTGATTTTGTTACTTGCCTGTTTTCAGCTGGAAGTGGTATGCAGGTAATGGATTCCATGGTAAGGCCAGTACAGCAACAGACTGAAGATTTGGCACATGCTGCTTTATGTCCGCTGTGGTGTTGCTAATACCATAAGCAATGAGCATTTCAATAACAACAGCAGGTATAAAAACCAACCTCCCCTTCGTAACGTAGTAACCAACTGTCACATTGTTTGATTGTTCCAGAATTTCAACCTAAAACACACAGGGAAAATGTCTTTTTTTAATTTCCATTTTAATTACTACGCTATTGGATTTTTTCATTCTGAATGGGATTTCCTAGAGGTTTTGCATGTAATCTCCTTTAGGGCAGGAGGTGCAATATACATTAATTTTAATTTTGAATCTAAAATCTAAAGTTCCCATCCTGAAAACCTTGATACACGAGTAACTTCACACACAAGAAGTTTCACTAAGTTCTCATGTGTGTGTCAATGTTTTCAGGCTCAGGACCAAAAGAGTGTAAGGATAAAATTATTTACTGCCTGACCCCCTAACTTCACTTGGGGCTCTGTTCTATGTACTCTCGACAGGCAAACCTATCATTGCCATCAGCAGAAGTTCTGGGCACAGACCAACTGCAAAATGAGCACAACAGTGAGCCACAGCAAAGAACAAGAATAGAGAAAAAAAATTTGCCCCAAGAACGTACAATTTCTTGGGTTGTTAGGCTCAAAACTTGTCCCTAGCACTACATCAAGTTGGGCTCCTCCATTAAAGGGGAGAGGAACAAAACCCAGAAGGAAAGGAGTGACAGTACAGCTACTCTGCAGCCTGTATAGCCATCATTGGGTACAAGCTCTCTAAGCTCACTACTGCCATCTTCCCCTGCCTACTTAGCATGCGAAAGGGAAAGGAGAAATTTGTAGAGTTATAGCTCAACAACCAAACCGGACTTTCCACAATTTACTCAAATAGGATGATTTTTGTCCTTCCTCCATCATTTTTATCAATGTTCCCTTTTTGTGTCTTTACTTACAGCCAATATGCTGTAAGCAGAGCTGTGCAAAGAACCCCCTGTTTATAGTAATGGGAGCTCCGTCCCTCACTTTATACAGAATATGGCTCTAACAATCTATTTAATTCTGGGCTTACATTCCAGATAACCCAGAATTTCATGTCATTTAGATGGAAAGTAATGAACATGCCACTCTCATTTATTTTAGTAGAAATTGTTTTCTCACAACTGCAGGGTTTTTTTGTCACTGTAGAAGCGAATGTATCAGGTACTAGGCTTCCAAAGTGGAAGATGGATTGACAGCAGTGACAACCCATTTACTGGCCATGCTGTTGCTGCTGATCCGTATTAATCTGTGGAAGCACTTGGCTCTCTACATGGTTGTACTCATTCCTGGCCTTCAAGAGGAAGAAGCTGCTGCTGTCAGTAGCCATCTCCCACAATGTGCAAAAGAGACAACTGCCTCTCTTCCCCCTTTTTACCTTTTAAAATAAAATGACAGCCACCATAAAAGTAACCCTAAAACTGTTAGAGCCCACATAGTGTTTGGGCCACCCCTTCCTTTCTTCCCTGGGAAAGTTACCAAAAGCCACGCACTTTTCTCCAAAACAGATTCCCACGTCTGCAATGCACCCAATTCCTGCAAATAAAATTCCCCACCTTGACTTGCCCATAAAGCAGCCCAATAAAGTTGCAGTCAATTTTTAAAAAATAAAAAAATCAGGGGCCTTTGTAGAAAAGACCATTTTATTTCTGGTTTAAAGAAGATTAATAGAAATGCTGTATCTTCAGAACAACAAAAACCTGACTGCAAATGACAAAGAAATACTGTATACGCTCGTATTTACAGTTAGCCTGCTAAACTCAGCTACAGAGAGTTATACAACAAACCATTACATCAGAACTTATAGAAAAACAAGTTAAATAAAATCTAACCATAAAAAGGACAAACGCGAGCTAAAGTAAATCTTTGTCCCTTGAAATGCTGAATTGCCATTTGGACTTAATCATATCAGTGAAGTTCTCAGATGCATAGAGAACTGTATTATTTAAAAACCAAAGAAAACTCTCCAAAACATATCAGTTTGCCATTAATTGGACGCACAATCAAAACAGTCTGTTGTTATTAAACAGTAATGATGTTATGAAAGTTTTTGGGGAAAAAATGGTTTCTTCCTTATCTGTCACTGGCAATAAAATTTGAAAGCCTCAGAATGTGTCATTCTAAATCCTTTTTTTTAAGCTCCACACACCAGTTTTCTGATTTTTTGTTTTTGGGCGGGGCCAGGCCTTGATGAGGTGAAAGAGAAGGAAAAAAATTGGGTAAACTATGGGGTTAAATATGCTAACTATTGTATAGCCAAAAACAAGCCTGCCATGTGCCATGCATCTTGTCTCTCACACATTTGGCAGCCCTGAGATCTCTCACATCCAGCAGGGCTGCAGGAAGGGCCTGCTGGCCATCAAGGGCCATTGCAGCACCTGCTGAGCAACCAGCCAGGCAGCCTCTGCTTCTCATAACACTGCTCCCTCTGCTAGAGCCAAGTGGATAAGGAACAGTTGGGAAGAGAAAACAATGACTCCCTCAACCTCCCAGTAGTTAATACCATCCTTAGAATATCTAGCACCACTTCATGGACTGAATTGCATTCAGTACACAATTCCATCAAAGGGTACCTGGTTCTGCATATCACAAACGCAAACTACTGAGTTTTGTGGGTCTTGGAGGCCTTATGCCTTTTTGTTTGAATTGGGTCTAAGGGATATGAGATGAGATACAGGAGTTAGAAACTAACTAGGATGCCCTTAATTCATATGATTAAAAACACACAAAAAACAAAACAAAAAAACAAAATCTTTCACAGACTACTAATATTCAGTACAAAAGTCCTTTTGGGGGGGGGGGGGGGGAAGAAACTTATTTTACCATATAAGCTAACTAAACTTGCTTACTTGAGCGTTGACATTTTGGTTGAAAGCTTGTCTCAATGCTTGGGTGAGTCCTTTTGTCACATTCTCTTTTAAGGAATTGCTGATCAGCAGCCTTCTTGTGTTCAGGAACAGAACTGTTGAACAACACCAAGTTACACATTCGTTTGAAACATCAATATGCTGTTTGCTTGAGGGTTGGTTTATTTTTTTTTCTAATTTTGATCACAGTCATTCGGTCATAACTCAAAGAAGATCCAGTAAGAAGCCATGCTGTGCATCAGGTACACGGAAGTTAAATACTGCAAGAGCTAGCCAAGGCCCAGAGTTCTCCAGTCCTCAGTGTACAAGGCCTATTTTGGGGGATCACGGACTAACAGTTGCAGTATTTTTTTTAAAAACACTGAGTTACCAACACGCTGCTGTTTTGAGGAGAGTACACTATAACCAGACTATCTGAAGACAGACTGATGGAGCATTCTAACACAACTGCTGTGGCATTGCCTCACAGGGCTCATGGTACAGGAAGGTTTAGGCAAGACTGTGTGGAAGAATATGCACTGCACATTTTCATAAAAAGAGAGCAAATTAATATTTCTACTTCTCAAAAGTGGAAACAAACAAATAAAAATGGCATTTCATATCCACTGTTACTTTCATTATAGAAATTGTCCTAACTTTTGTTGATTAGTTGATTGCTCTGGGGCAAAGACTGGATCATTTACTCATGGCATTTTTGTAGAATACTTTGCAGACAGACTAAGGGCTAGTCTACACTAGAAGTGCTACATCGACGCAGCTACTCCAATGCAGCTGTGCCACTCTAGCGCATCTGGTGAAGACGCTCTATGACGAGAGAGTATATGCATATCTTTAGAGAGGAGATGGCATTAAAGGCTGATAACAGGGGACGTTCATTAGCATCCCCACTCCCTCCTAGAGAAGGTACATACAATGTCGCAACAGCACATACACAATTGTATTTTAATACAATATGCCCCAAAAGTATTAAACCTACTTCAATAAGGTTTATCTTAATTCAGTAAAGTTTATTTTAATTCCATAAGGTTGTTCAAGATATTACAGGATATTGTCAGTCTGTCACAGCTGCTGCACATGTTGTGTTAGTGCTGCAGATATTTAGGATCCTCAGACATAGGAATAAGGATATAATATATCCAAGAGATGATCATTTCCAGATTTCACTCTCCCGAGCCCCTCCCATGCCTGTATAAATTGGCATACCCTTTTAGCTAGACCTTCCCCTTTCTTCTGTAACTCTCAAAGCTAAGTATCTAATGTGGTGATACACTATGCCAGTGGTTCTCAATCAGCAGTACACAGAGGTCTTCTGGGGGTACATCAACTCATCTAGATATTTGTCTAGTTTTACAACAGGTTACATAAAAAGTACTAGCCAAGTCAGTACAAACTAAAATTTTATACAATGACTTTTTTATACTGCTCTATATACTATACACTGAAATGTAAGTACAATATTTATATTCCAATTGATTTATTTTATAATTATATGGAAAAAATGAGAAAGTAAGCAATTTTTCAGTAATAGATACTTTTGTATTTTTATGTCTGTGTTAATAAGCAAGTAGTTTTTAAGTGAGGTGAAACTTGGGGTATGCAAGACAAATCAGAGTCCTGAAAGGGGTACAGTAGTCTGGAAAGGTTGAGAACTATTGCACTACACCACCAACTTAAGTCCCTTATACTGGCAAAAAATGATTTCTGAGGACCCATTCAATTTACTATTCTTAGGAGTGGCCTTACTTTAACTTTAAGAAACCAAGATTAGAGCCATGACAAGTGGTGCTATTATCAGAAATTTAGTACAGTATGTCAACATGTGACAATAAAATATTTTGAAAATGTATGATATGAAATGCTAAACATTGCTTTGAAATTTTTCTGTACGTAGGAGTTTACAAAATGACATACCATTCCATATCAGAACAAAAGTCTATCTAGTATATTAACCTGCCTCAATCTGTTACCTCTGCCCGTCACTGCAGAGGAAGGAACAAACTATCATAATGTGCTTCACCACCATGCAGCTTACCTCCTTTAAGCATATATACGGTTGAATGTAAAAGTATATACATAAATCTATTATCTATATTTACTAGCCTCACCATCACCTATCTATTTAGCTTGTTAGTGTAGTCATCACCATTGTATCTAATCCCCACATTAATCATCATAGCCCTTAAATTATTTAGTAAACTAACCAGTATTTAAACAACTTTTCTATTTATGATGAACTATACTTCATATAAAACTGATGTATTTCTAATCAAACAAGCTGAGTATAGAGCCATACCTGATTTAACCATAAGGTTACTGGACAGCTGGCATTCCGGAGGGGGAACTGTTGTCACATTAGCGAAAGTTGCAATTGCAGTTGTAGGAGCAGCAGAATTGTTTTCCACTGGAGCAGGGGGGAGCCTAGTTGTTTTCGCTGATGCTGTAATAGATGTCAAAGCTGCTGTAATTGTCAGTGGATATGCAGTTGATGTTTTGGTGATTTCTGAGCTTGTGAATTTCTTGGTGTCAGGTACTGTGGTTTCTATCTGTCTTTGTGTGTGTGTTGTGGATGTCAGTGTGGAAGCTGTGACTGTGCTAACTTTATTGGTTAGAAACATAACAGTGGTGTGGGGGGGTGATGTCGGTGTGTGTCTTGGTGCAAACGGAAAGTTTGTATGTGCTGGTACTGTCGATGTCATTTTTGAGGCACTGTTATTTTTTGCTAGTGTTGATATCAATGTGCTTAATGCTGTCACAGACAGCAAGGGTGCATTTTCAGTGCCTAGAGAAAAAAAGGACGAAGTTGGCGCAGATTTTCCTGTTACTGATTTTGCTTCTGAAGTTGCTACTGTAGGTATTGCACCCGCCGACACTGAAGGTAGCACTGTAATGACAGAATGGGTAAAGTTGGTTGTTGGCAAAAAAGCAGAGGTTATTTGTGTTGGTGATGCATGGACAGAAGTTATGATGACTGACTGCAAAGCATTGGTGGTATGTGTTTGCGATGGGGTGCCATTGGTAGATTCATTAGGTACAGCAACTGTAATTAGAATATCACCTGTACCATTTGCATGCCACGTCTCTGTACTAAACGTAGCTTGTTTTTGAATAACGCTAGTCAAGTGACTACGTGGTTCTGAAACAGAGCTGTTTGTAAAGTCTGTCAAATTTCCAGAAGTCATGTATTTTTTTGTAGTTAGAATAGATATCGGTGTTGAACTTGAAGATTGTTTGGCTACTGGAAAGGAAGAAATTGTTGGTTGTGTACCACTGATAGAACTAATTTCATTAGCTGAGACAATCAAATTGTCAGTGAATTGAGAAGCCAATGGTATCTCAGATTGTGTTGTGTATACGGCTTTTGTTGATGAAGAGACATTTTCACCATGGGTTGTCTGAGATTTCAGAGTGTTAGAAACAGTACTTGTATCATCAGCTGCAAAATCCTTCACTGTCGGCAAATACAGATGGGGGGATATTTCAAAGTTTTCAGTGAAGTTAGTGTCCCTGAGAGTGAAGAATTCAGTAACATTTTGAGTTGTGTCAGTATCTTTTTTTGACTGTGCTGCAGGTAGTGCTGTAGTGGTAGCATGGGACGAATACTGAACACTAGACATTTCCAGGGCAGATGAACGTATGTTAAATTGTGTGAAATTAGGAGACTTAATTTCAGTCAAAGGTGAAGTTGAAACCTTTTGATTAGATGTTGCAGATGTAGATGTTTCTAAAGTTACAGAGATAGAAGCAGTTTGTTTGTTTGTAACATCATTTATTTGCGGTTGCAGACCTGAAATTGTTGAATATGGGGTGTGATACCCAGTTTCTAATGAAGAAGTGCTTGGAGAAACTTCTATTATTGGAATGTTGGTTGTTTCTTTTACTGACAGAACACTAACACCAGCTGAAGTAAGCACGGCTGTAGTACTCCATTCAGAAGCTGAAGCAGTAATTATAGGTATCTTTGTAGTATATAAACTACTTTCAGAGGCAGCATTTGAAATACTAGAGAAAGCTGATGCTGGGCTGTATGGGGCTTCTGTTACTGGAACAAATGATGGAAATGCATATAATTCTGAAGGCACAATAGTGGTCCATGGTTTTGTATCATCTGTGATTGAAACTTGATCAGTGGAAAAATCAGGTTTATTTAAAGCTGGTAGAGGGGCATATTCTGTATGTGGAGTGACAATGGTGAATGCTCCTGTATTTGTTTCTTCATTTTCTGTTAAGTCTACAGTTGGACTTTCTCCATTAATAGCTGAAAGCTGTGAAGTTGTAGAATTATGAATAGCAGGTGTATCTTTAATAATGAACACAGATTTTGAAAGGCCTGTATTGGCAGTGGGTAATGATACTGCAGATGTAGTAACAGAACCGATGATTTCTGTTTTCAAAATACTTTCACGCAGGATTGTTCCTGTTGTGTGTTTGCTGGCTCGAGTTTCTGGAAAAACTCTGGAACGTTGAGATCCATAAGAAAGGACATTGTTAGCGTGTATGTTAGTGTACACTTTGGCTGTACTACCTGTTTCGAAAGACTGATGGGATGCCTCTCTAACTGAAGAGCCATCAAAAGGTTGCAAAGTATGTTCAAAATCACTTGATAATATCACTGTGCTGGCTTCATAAACTGTATCAGTTACCTCTTTTCCAAAAACTTGACTGATTGACACTGTTGAGCGAAGGGACGAAATATTTATTAGAGGGAATGTAGAAGTGTTCTCATAGGCTGGTGTTGAGTTTGTTGCATTGCTAGTATGTGCTATAATATTAAAAGTATGATTTGTCACAGTTATTAAGGAAGATTCTTTATCTGTTGAATAAGGAAGTGTGGTTTTTCTGAAAAGAAAGTCTGATATACTTGTAGGTGCTGGTGATGGAACTACTGCATTGCTAGTGCTTATTGCATCTGGAATAAATGTTCTTGGCACAGTAAAGGAAGACCTATTTTCTGTTGAATGGGAGACTCCTATTGGGCTATTAGAAGCTGGTGATAAAAATATTGCCTTGGTAGAACCCGACATGTCATTAGTTGCTGTGGAAGACTGATGACTTGTCACTTTTGGTAATGCAGATATAGTGCCCACGGTATGAAAGAATGAAGTACTAACCACTGGAATCTCTGATTTACTATTAAAAGCTGGTGATGATGCAGCTGGGCTGACGACATTCTCTCTGTCAGTCACCACTGCCTTGAATGGCAGATTGGTGGGTATTGCTCCAGAAGAAGACACATTATCTGTTGAGTGAGACAATGAAGTTCTTTCAGTAGGAAGCCATGATGCCGTTTCAGAAGCTATTGGTAGGAAAGACTGAGAGGATATTACTGACAGAGAAGTAGGAGAGTGTGCAGATAGTAGGGATGTACTTTCTGAGGGTGACACTCTTCCCATTGTCTTTGTGGAATGTATCATTGTTGATCCAAAGCTATTAAGTGATGTGGTACCTGTGACCTCTTTGAGACCCCTTCTGGATAATGTGTGATTCACTATACTGGAATTTACAGCAGTGACTGTGCTTGGTGGATTATCTCTGCTTGCACTAAAATGAGAGTCAGCTGAATCTATGTGGAAGGAACTTTCAGTATCTGTGGATAAAGGCACTTTGGTGGGTAGTACAGTCAACTTAGAAAAGATAATGGTATGAGGTGATTGTATTACCAATGAAGAAAATGATGGTGATGGAACAGTTGCAAGAATGTCTGATCCTGATGTGCTTTCTTTTGAAATGGAGGGTGTTGCTAATGATGTTAGCTGAGATGGCACAGCAGTACTTGAATGTGTCATTGATGGTTTTGTGGACAATGTGGCAAACATACTGATTTGAGGCAAACCTGATACAATAGCTGTTTCATCTACATCTTGAGATGATGACCTCACTGGTGATTCAGCTGAAACTTCGGAAGGCTCCTGGGATGCACTATTTCCACTGCCTTGGTAAAGGGTGGGCGAAAAATTAGTTTGATCCATAGTTCTGGCGCCAGTCAGTGTTGTTTTTATTATCTGAAGCAAGTTTGCATTCTCCAATGTTTGTTTCATTGACATGTCAGATATTGAGGAAGACTTAATTTCTGTTGAAGGCCATGTTGGTGAAAATATAGATCTCCAGTTAGCAAGAGACTCTGTAGAGGGGGCAACATTTGTTTGGTGTTGTTTGGTACCTGTAAAACAATAGTTAAAATGAATATTTTGCAAAAAAAGTGTTATCTTGATACACTACACCAGTGAATCTGAACAGGAAATGTTTAATCCTAGGTAAATGACTTATTTCTCTGTGTTGGAAGGACATAATGAATAAACAATCAAAGTTAAAAAATATGAACATGAGAAGTGCAATGTGAGTAAACATAATTGTCTCATTGTTTCATTATACAGAAAAATAAAAGATAATGCCAAGCGTTACTTACAGTGATAATACAAAATAATTACTGATATTGCTCATAAACTAGGATGGCTTAACCTACTAGGAAGCTAACTTGTTGTGCTTGAGACAACTTCTGATGTTATCATCTTCATACTGTGACAAAATATTATATGCAGTGTAGTTGTAACCATGTTGGTCCCAGGATATTAGGGACAAAAGGTGGGTAAGATAATATCTTTTATTGGACCGGCTTCTGCTAGTGAGAGAGAAGCTCAAATGCTCGTCTCTCCCACCAACAAAAGCTGGTCTAATAAAAAATATTACCTCACCCACCTTGCCTCTCCAAATATTATGTAAGATGTTAGGGTTTAGAAGCAGCTATACAGAGGGAATGGATTCTGACAACCAAACATCACTGACTTAGCATACTGTACATTATGGGAATAGAGTCAAAATTGGTTGGGTTCCTCTATGAAGCATCTGTACGTGGTCATCTTGCCAGCTCTAATAATGTGTGTAATTATAGGCAGAAAGGCAAGAAAATATAACAGGGATGAAATTGATTAGGGGGGGAATTAAAAACAAATGAGGAAATTAAACTCCTTATTTGATATGTGCAGATGTATAAAACATCTCTAGCATCAATTTATTTAGCATTCTACACCATATTGTTCCTACGCTTTGTTTTCTTAAAATGATTACACAGTAAGCTTAAAAATCACAATTTGGAAAACCTTACATTCTTTTTATTTTAATTATGACTCAATCAAGATCAAAATTAACATTTTGTTGTTGTTTTTCATGAGATAATCGATCAACTAAAGCTTATCATTGTCCTTTTCCATTTCACTGTCAGCCAGATTGTGGCCCAGCCTATGTACCCAGGCCATAAGAGGGAGCAGACCCCTCCCCTGTAATGGGCATGGGTAATGATACTACAGATGTAACAAAACTGGTCCTTTCCTCGCACATACATACACATTGCTATGTGACTTCAACCAATGTTGGAGTAGATGCTACAGACCTCCTACTCCCCCTTGAAACCACTTATAAACTTGAAGTGATAGCTTGTAATTTTAACAGTTTTCAATACATTGCACCCCTCAGTCAAGTGGATAAGAAGTAGGCAGAGCATTCGCTCAGCCCCCCAATAAGCCTGTCAGTGCAGCTGAGCCAGCCCGGGAGGAGGTAATCTACTACCAGTAGGGGCCAGTGCAGATCATGACACTGCTGGAATAAGCAAGGAACATGGAAGATATCATGCCTGTCTGAGGCCACTTACTGGGAATTGATGCTGCTGCAATCAATGCAGCAGGGGGTCGATTTAGCAGGTCTAGCGAAGACACGCTAAATCGACCTCAGAGTGCTCTCTGGTCAATTCCAATACTCCACCAGAACAAGAAGAGTAAGGTAAGTCAACAGGAGAGCATCTCCTGTCGATGCAGTGCAGTGTGAACACTGCAGTAAGTTAACCTAAGCTACAGTGACTCCAACTACGTTATTCACGTAACTGGAGTAGCGTAACTTAGGTCGACTTACCCTGGTAATGTAGACAAGGCCTTAGGCTCAATTCCTTCTCTGTGCAGCATCTGTGCTACACATTGTTCTGTACACATACAGACAGGTCAGAATAGATGATCAAAGTTGTTCCTACTGGTCTTAAATCTGTGATTCTATTACTCTAGTCCTGTATTTGGGTTCCAACCCACCATATATACAGATCTTCCATTCAAAACATGTTTCAGAGTAGCAGCCGTGTTTTTAACTACAGATACGCACAAGTGGCCGCCAAAGTACTGCAGAGTGAAAGGTAATTCAGATTAGTTTATTACTAACTCAATATTATTGTTTACCATATAGCAAACATCTTAATGTGAAAATTAAATGCAGAGACCAAACTATTTTGAAACAAGTATTTCCATTTAGCATTAACACACTAGTTAAGCTAAGTAATATCATGTCCAACTTAGCATTTTCACATTACAGGGATTAAAGACCTTTCCTCTTATCATATTGTTTAAGAACTGTATTGGATCATGATGAGAAATGGCTTTGTTGCAACAAATGTTGAGAATAAGGCATCCAGATACAAATTATTTTAGGGAAGCAGCATACTTAATTGGAATGAGAGAAAGAAGAGAATATTATGCACCAATATGAAATCCTCAGATATTTCCTAAATATAAGCAGCAAAATATTATATAGGGGGAAATTAGTTTAAATTATTGTACTTACAAAGAGCTAGATTTTGCTCTTCAGTACAGTCCCGTGTCGGAGGTATTACATAAACCACACAATCCCAGGGGGAGCCCTGCAAGGCAATGTGACTCACACAACCCTATGTCTACAATACAGATGTTACACCTATTGTTCTTCCCTCAATTGATTGAAAAATACCTTGCATCCACACACAAAAGGGCTTCCACCAATTTTCGGGGAAGCAGCAATCACAAGCCACAAGACTGAAATGCCTGTAAGCTGCATGGAAACTTTTTAAAAACACCATAATAGAGGCTCAAATTAAATGTATACCTCAAATTAAAGAGAATAATAAGAGGACCAAAAAATTGGCACCATGGCTAAACAGAGTAAAAGAAGTGGTTAGAGGCAAAAAGACATCCTTTAAAAAAAAAAGCATGAACTCTTGCAAGTCAAGTGTAGGAGTCCAATTAGGCAGGCCAAAAAAGAATTTGAAGAGCAAATACCAAAAGACTCAAAAACTAACAGAAAAAATATGTTTAAGTATATCAGAAGAAGGAAGCCTGCCAAACAATCAGTGGGACTCCTCGATGATTGAGGTGCTAAAGGAGCACTCAAAGAAGACAAGGCCATTTCAGAGAAGCTAAGGGCTTGTCTACATTGGCACTTTAGAGCGCTGCAACTTTCTCGCTCAGGGGTGTGAAAAAACACCCCCCTGAGCTCTGCAAGTTTCAGCGCTGTAAAGTGCCAGTATAGACAGTGCACCAGCGCTGGTAGCTATGCCCCTCATGGAGCCAAAGCCTTCTGCATGATTTACATCAGGGGTCGGCAACCTTTCAGAAGTGGTGTGCCGAGTCTTCATTTATTCACTCTAATTTAAGGTTTTGCGTGCCAGTAATACATTTTAATGTTTTTAGAAGGTCTCATTCTATAATATATAACTAAACTATTGTTGTATGTAAAGTAAATAAGGTTTTTAAAATGTTTAAGAAGCTTCATTTAAAATTAAATTAAAATGCAGAGCCCCGGACTGGTGGCCAGGACCAGGGCAGTGTGAGTGCCACTGAAAATCAGCTCGCGTGCCGCCTTCGGCACGCGTACCTTAGCTTGCCTACCCCTGGTTTACATTATACAAGACTCACCTACTGCTTTCTGAAGATGACTCCTAGAGGGAAACACCGAGAGATAGATTTTTTTTTCTGAAAGCTTTGCTTTCTAGAACATCAGAATACATCAACATCAATCCATGTATGATCTGTAACATTCTCTCTTCCTCTGTTCCTTCACACTTGAAGGTTATCATTCTCATCAGCACCATACAAGAGATACTGTAGACTTGAGAGAGTGTCAAACTTACATTATCACAGTTTGACACGTAGAGGAAAGTATGGCATAACTTAGAGTAGCAAAAAACAAATAAGAATATCATCTGCTATGGAGTCATCTGCTGTTTCTCTTCCACAACTTACAGCTACCCAGCTCCAGTCCTTTTCTCCTCACTTTAAAGTAAAGTAGCTGGTAATTTTTCTTTTACATCCTTTGGTGAATAAAATCCCCCAGGCATCCGCACTCATTCTGTTGAATGACTGGGGGTTTACAGAACTACTTACCAGGTGTTCTTTAGGCAGATTCAAAAGGCTGTCACACTGCTGCTGTGAAATTTCTTATGATTCCATCTGGCTACCAGTGCATTTCTAGAAACATCTCCAACTCTTACATAATTCGCCATCTTCCATTAGCGAGTAGCTGGGGTACTCGGAGAGTGAGAGAATCCTCCCAATGTGTGGAGTTTAATCTCAAGTGCATGTACATTAGGGCAACCCCTTTCCTAGTTGAGCATGGATGGATTAACATAAGCACCTACCATTCTGAGATCAAGTAATATGCAAACAGAGACTCAAGTAATAAAAAAATATATAAAATGTGTATGTGAGTGGTAGGCAGAACACACCAAAATGGGACAGAAAGAAACAGCTGCAAAGACGAGGAAGGACAAACAAAGAAGCTAAAATGAGGTGAGACCAACAAATAAAAATGCATGCCAGGATCCTTCATACAATGTTGCAGCAACACTTCCTTTGGAGGCCCCTGCAGTATGTTTAGTAGCAATTGGAGAGGAGAGGACCAAATCCCATCTTTGTCTATGACATAACTACACCTATAACTGGCTTTGGGGGAACCTGGAATACTTGTTATCACTGCAGATATAAAAGGAGCATAAATGACTATACTTCTTGAAATATAGTACGACACATATATCAAAGCTGTATGAGAAGTTTGGAAGACTTATGTGTAAGGGGACGGAGTTATGGAAGGCTAAGAAAGCATGCAGGAAAAGCTTGAACTTAATACTCAGGAGATCAGTGCACAAATTTGAAGACAGAGCTCTGGGAAAGAAAGATAACCTTAGCTGTAGTCTTTTTTAATGGAGAAGATTTGGAAAAAATAGGAGACCAGGGAACCAATAAAAATGCAGTTCCAGGAGAGCAGACAGGAAATTACTGGAGCATGGCTAAGATTTTGGCAGCGGGGACAAACAGGAAAGGAAGAATTGTGGAGAAACAACGTGGCAGGAGTTGGCAAGGGCCTAGATGTGAG